TGGCTCCCACTGCCCTGTGGTCCCACAGCCTCTCTAACCCAAATAAACACACAGAGGCTTATATTACTTACAAATGATATGGCCTAATGGCTCAGGCTTCTCACTAGCTAGTTCTTACATCTTCAATTAACCCATTTCTATAAATATATACATTGCCACATGGCTTATGGCTTACCAGCACCTTTACATCTTGTTTCTCATGGCAGCAACTGACAGCATCTCCTCTGCTCTTTCTCCTTTCTCTCTCTCTAGTTAGAATATCCCGCCTAACCTTATTCTGCCCCACCATTTGCCAGACAGCTTTATTTACCAACAAATTAGAGCAACACATTTTCACAGTATACAGAATCGATATCACCCATTATTTCCCCTTTTCTTCTATTCAAAAGGAAGGTTTTAACTTCAACATAGTAAAATTACATATAAAAATAATTATCAAGCAAGAATTTTAGTTATAATATCTAGTCTATTTGTATTTGGCAAAATTAAAGAAGATATCCTGTATTTGTGAGTCTAAGGTTTCATTTCTACCCTATCTCTTATCGTAACCAAGGAAAACTATAATTATAACTATCTAGTCCTCAACTACATCAAAGACCCCAGAAGGATATAATATTACCTAAGTAAATAGAAGTGCATTGTAAGCAACTTCCAAAAATCTAGAATGACAGGGATAGCTGGCTACCTGGACAGTTACTCAAAGTTCTTCTGCAATGTTGGGGCATCTGCCATGGACTGGCCCACCAGGGGTATCACGACCGTAGGAGAACTAGGGCTTGGGTAGTCAGGAAGGCAAGGATTTGGTGAATGACAGACAGACAACACACTCAGGAGTGGTTTGAATCTGCTGCAATTTTACTTCTGCGAATCAGTAGTTTATATACAGAAAAGAAAACTATCAAGTCATACAAGGAACAACAAGAGCTTGGCAATAATTCAATCACATCATCTTAAAAAAAAAAAAAAAACAGCAAACACACAATTTTTAATCGGCCCTAGGCATATCCCTTCACCCACAAGAACTTTATGATCCAAAGAGCAGTCTGTGTTTTTTAAACTTAGTACAGTCCCTAGACTTGTGAAGGCTTCTTTGCGGTTGTAGCTGTGTCCTTTATTTTAACTCAGAAGCTTTCTAGTTTATTATGCACTTCTACTTTTCTGGTTCTCATGACCCGCTTAGCCAATTTGGATGCTGCAGACCTTCTCTAAGTCTTTCTTCAGTTCTCTACCACATATCTCTTTAATATAAAACCTTTTCACCTGCTAGAATATGAACCCTTGTACTTTTTTGCCTGTAAGGGGAAGGGATTCTGTTGTAGTCCTTAAGTTTCCCATGCTGAACTTCCTCAATGGAGGGGCCCACCATCTGCCTCCTATGAGATAATGTTTTTTACCATAAATCACTTTAGTTGGGATTCGTAAAGGATTCTTAGTGGGTGAGTGTTCATTCCCTAGAAGTACCTGAACTATTATACTTTCTTTATCTAGTGGCTTGGGGTCTTTAAAAAATAGCTCATTCTGCTATATTTAATTAAGATCCATGTCCAGCTTCCCCTTTCCTCCATAGTTCACAACCCAAGCATTCATTAATTTTGGCTGTGCTTCATAGAGTAATTAGAACATTATCAGAAAAGCAGTTATACAGAACCCATAGCCCAGGAAGCTCATGATCTGTGAAGTACATCTCCTTCGAGAAGGAAGCATAACACGGGCACTATGCCAGGGACCTCCAGGGAGCTTAGTCCCGTGGGACACGTATCTCCCGTCCGCTATTATAGACATAATTGTTCATGTCACACAGACGACACTGGAGTTGGTGTGGCAGGTATCCATTCTTCTGCCTACAGGCCTAGAGTCTCTGTGTCCTGTAGAATGTTTGGCAGTTTCTTCTGTGAAGCAGGAACCTAAAGAACCATCTCCTCTTGCAAAGTTCAGTGCTCACCTTCCTATGAGTCCTGCATGTCCAGTTTATACAACATACTGTCAATCAGTCGATGCAAGGGCACTTTTTTGCTCAGTGGCTAACTTTTGCCACAAAGAAAGCAAACTCTATAATGAGTTAATTCAATGACCATCATTCTCCTTGAAGTAATTGGTGCTGCCAGGAGCAGATGTGTCTCATTGTCAAGAAAAGTCAAAGTTTTTAAAACATATTAAATGCCATATTCTGTAGGTCTTTGAAGTGTTTGAAGATTACCTACCTAATTGAAATATATCTATGTATACCTAAAAAACTTAATTAATCTGTATTTCTTAATTATACATTATAATTTTAAATGAGTTACATAAACATAATACCTTAAACAGGAGTAAAAATATACATACAGTATAACAAAATTAACTTTAAATTTCTATCAATAAACTAAAATCTATACCAATGTAAAATATTTTAAACAAGTTGTTGCTCTTTAAAAATAGATTCAATAATCTACCCTTTCATCCTGTCATATCTTTAATATCATCCCTTTTCTTCTTTAGAAAGAGATTGCATTTATCATCAACCTGATTTAAATAAAAATAAACATTCATAAACAATATTTTGGGAACATTCATAAACAATATTTTGGAGAAACCTCTGTGTAACTGGGTGGGAATCCACCATGCTGCACTCAAGCCTGCATGCTGTAAACCCGCCATACTGCAGCTCATGGCTTGCCTGAGGTACAACTAAGAAGCTGTTTTTAGCTCCATTTTAGAATCTCTTATTAACTTCTCTTGGGTTTTAGGTGGAAACTCTTGCCCCACATTGGGCACCAATTGTAGATGAATTTCTAAATGGTCTTATTAAATAAAAAATATGGGGCCAAATATATGGGTGAAAGCATTAGAGAGATCAGGGGAATAGGGAAAGCCACCAGCCAACCTTATCTCACCAACTCTGCAGCTTCCAAATGCTGCGATGCCCTATTTACCCATGCCTACATGCCTTGCTGTTCTGCCATCTGATTTGCTCTCTTCTTTCAGCTACATTACTTCCTCTTCCTACCCAGCTCTGTCACTTCCTGTCTGCCTGTACAGACCTCCATACCTCCATAGTTAACTAGTTTTGGAATTTAAGGCATGTGTCACCATGCTTGGCTCTGTTTCCAGTATGGCCTTGAGCACACAGAGATCCTGCCTGCCAAGTGATAGGATTAAGGGCATGTGCTACCATTGCCTGACTTCTTTGTTCACTTAAATGGCTTGCTATTTCCTCTGATCTCCAGGCAAAAGCTTTATTTATTAAAGCACAAATAAAATATCACATTTCAGCACAAATAAAATACCACCACATTCCCCCTTTTTTTGTCTAATAAAAAATAAAAAAATAAAAAAGCTACAACTAGTATAAGAAAAACTATATACAATAAGTACAATAACTCTATACAATATATACAAGCAATAAATACCTAAACAATATCTAGTCCATTTGCGTCTGAAAAACTCAGAGAAAATATTCCATTATCTATTCTATTTTGGTGAGTCCAAAGTGTACCTAACTCACTTTCTATCCTATCTTGTATTACCAACAGAAAACTGTCTTATGATGTCTTTCAAACTTACATACTTAGCACCTCTTAGTGAGTTTCTTTTCTGAATTTCTTAAAAAGGAAAACTAAAATTACAACTACCTAATCTTCCACTCCTTTAGACACCAGAGAAGGAAATAATATTACTTAGTAAAACAGGAAGTACAAACAAGCGATTCCAAAAATTGTGAGTTATGACGGAAACAGCCAGCTTCCTGGACAGTCACCCAAGGTTTCCCTGCACGTTGGGGCACCATCTTTGGCTACAGTCTTCCCCATATCTTTCTTTTTTTAAGATTTATTTCTATTTTTATGTATATGACTGTTTGTCTGCATGTGTGAATATTGTCCATATATGTCCAGTGCCCACAGAGGCCAGAAGAGAGACTTAGGATTAGCATTACAGACAGGTGTAAGTGGTCATGTGGGTACTGAGACTTGAACCCAGGTCCTCTGCAGGAGCAGCCAGTGCTCTTAACAGCTGAGTCATCTCTCCAGGCCCTCTCCCCATACTTTTCAAATAAAAATTTGTTTCTCTTTATTTTTTTTTTAAATTCTTAGAACGTCAGGTAGAAAAAAAATACTGTGAAACGTGAGAAGAGAATGGCTATTTTGGATCTTAAATGTGATTATTGAAAGATGTGGTTTTGAAGAGGTTGTATGGGTTTTGGTTTTGGTGTGTTTCAGTTTTTGGTTTTGGTTTGGGTTTATTTTGTTTTTTGTTTTTTGGTGTGTGTGTGTGTGTGTGTGTGTGTGTGTGTGTGTGTGTGTGTGTGTCTTAGTTCAAAATCTAGCTTGTTGTGCAGCCAGACAGCAATGAGGACTCTTCTCTGTCTCTGTCTCAGGATCCATGAACATCAAATTTCTTTCTTAGGATTAGTATCCAGTATGCTAGATCACCAAGGATAAAGAAAGGGATCAGGAGAGCTTGCTTCTAGCCTATTAATCTATGACAAGCAAGGTGACTATGCCCTAACATAATCAAGACAGATACAGTTCTGCCAAAGGGAGCAAGACAGGAGAGGAAAAACACAGAAATGGTGTGATACTTGGTTTTAATTGTCAATTTGACATTATATATAATCTTATGGAGAGTGTCAGTAAGGAATTACATAGATCAAGTTGATTTGTGGGTATGAATGTGAGGGGTTTTCTTCTTAATTGGGCTAATTGAGGTAGAAAGACCAGACTCCTCAAGTGTGTCAAAGAACTAATTAGGGCTTGCACAGAAAATTTCCTATAAAATTCTTATTTTATCTGTACAAAAACATGTCAAGATTCAAAATGTCCCATTAGGGGTGGGGGGCCAAAATGACCAGAGCCCTCCCTGGATTCCTAGTTCTCAGTTCAGTAGCCTTGGGTTCTTTAGAAAGAGAGAAGGAATGACAGTTGAAACTTAGATGTAAGCAGGGCCTTTGCAGTGTGATCAGTCCCAAGATTTGTAGCTTCTCTTCATTATGTCTTCCCTCATTGTCATTCATTGTTTTCTAGATACTGTGGAGACTGGAAACAACACTACTGTAGGAAAATCCAAGAGGAAGAGAAGTAAGGAAACAAATGAGAGTTTATGTGCTTTTGGTGTTTCTGATAAGTTTCTTTCTTTCTTTCTTTTTTTTTCTTGGTTTTTCCAGACAGGGTTTCTCTGTGTAGCTTTGCGCCTTTCCTGGAACTCACTTGGTAGCCCAGGCTGGCCTCGAACTCACAGAGATCCGCCTCCCCCCCCCCCAGTGCTGGGATTAAAGGCGTGTGCCACCACTGCCTGGCCCTGATAAGTTATTTACTGCTAGAATTATTATTGTTATTGTGTGTGACAATGGGGTAGACTGTGGTGACCTCCCCCTTGCCCTTGGAACATGTTATCTTTATGACAAAGACATTCTATGTACATAATTAAGCTAGGGACCTTGATGGGGGTGACAACTGTCTTTGACTGTTGGTCAAAGACAACTCTGATTTTATGGGTCTTAAGCAGTGAGGAACTCGGGCTGGAGAGATGGCTCAGAGGTTAAGAGCACTGACTGCTCTTCCAGAGGTTCTGAGTTCAATTCCCAGCAACCACATGGTTGCTCACAACCATCTGTAATGAGATCTGGTGCCCTCTTCTGGCCTGCAGTCATACATGCTGTATACATAATAAATAAATTAATTTAAAAAAAAGAAGTGAGGAACTCAGGCCAGGTGGTGGTGGTGGTACACTCCTCTAATCCCAGCACTTGGGAGGTAGGGGTAGACAGATCTCTATGAGTTTGAGGCCAGCCTGGGCTACAGAGTGAGTTCCAGGAAAGGTGCCAAAGCTACATAGAGAAACCCTGTCTTGAAAAACCAGAAGAAGAGGAAGAAGAAGAAGAAGAAGAAGAAGAAGAAGAAGAAGAAGAAGGGAACTTTCTTAAATACAGAGAGAGGAACGACTGTTGCAGGAGGCCGTGAGGTAGACAGCAGGTAACAGCTAGTATTGAACAGGCTGACCCACCAGACAGGGAGCCCCAGTTGGCAAAGCCATGGAGTTACTGACTGTAAATGACCAGTTGCTCCTGTCTGTAATTTTTCTCATGTGCCACTTCTTTCTTCCCTAATAACAGTCATGGGTATTTTCCCCACTGCTTGTGTGTTTATCTCATAAAAATATTCCATCTTTGGGTACACATATATAGCTGTGGATGGTCAGGAAGATGATTTCTGCTTAGGCTCTATAATTCTAATAATACTAGAATATTTTTCATAACTGACACAGGAAACCAACAGCATTCTCAGTCACAAAGACAGCTAATTTTAGATTTCAGAACAAATCAAAGCAGACTAACTGCCCCTAAAGAAAAAACACAAACATAAGTTCCAGTTTTATTGCTAAATCAAGGTCAGAACTGAAGCAACTTTGGTAGACATAGCCCTTTACAGTAACTGACTTTTTGCACATAGTCTCAGCCTCAGTTTATGTTACAGGCTTGAGGTTCAACCAACTGTTTACTTTCTGTCTGGGAACCCTCACCAACTTAGAGCTATTTGCACTGCCAAGCATTACTCACTGGCCAGTCAGTGTGACATCTCTAGCCTGAGAAAAACTGTGTGACTTATTATGTGTTATGAGAATGGGTCAGACCCTGAAAATGTACCATAGAAGTGTCCAGAGTTTGGCTGAGAGAGGAGTCATGATGTAGAGAGAGGCAGCTATGTACAGCTATGTAAGAGCTATGCAGAACCGGGCGGGCAGTGGTGGCACACGCCTTTAATCCCAGCACTCAGGAGACAGAGGCAGGCGGATCTCTGTGAGTTCGAGGCCAGCCTGGTCTACAGAGCGAGATCCAGGAAAGGCGCAAAGCTACACAGAGAAACCCTGTCTCGAAGAAAAAAAAAAGTGTTATGCAGAGAGTGAGTATGTATGTGTGTGCTGAAAGAGAGATAGCTGAATATGAAGAAGAGGTGTGAGAGTGTGTGTGAGTGTGCAGGAGTAATGTGAGAGAGTGAATGAATGAGAGAATAAATAAATGATGTAATAATATGTGAAGGAATGTAGCAGAGTAGAGAGAAGAAATGTGTATAGAAGAGAGATGTGGAGCTATGTAAAAAAGAGATGTCAAGGAAAATGAAGCTGTATAGAAAAGAAATGTAACTGTACAAAAGAGGTATGTGGCTGTGTGGAGAACGTAACAATGTAGAATGTATCTAGGTGGAGACAGAGATTTTCAGAGAAAGAGATTTTTTTAAGATGAAGTAAAAGAGAAAATTAGCATCAGAAAGTGTGTATGTTTCCTCATTTACCCCTCAGATAGAAAAAGTCTAGCCCTTGCCACATCCCGGGATTTTTTTTTTTTTTTTTTTTATTTATTTATTTATTTATTTATTTATTTGCATACTCTGGGTGCAATCTTAAAAACTGGCTCTCTTAAAGACTGCTTTAGACTGTGGAGGAGTAGTCAGAAGGATGTAATACTGATGGGTCTGAGGACACAGGAAGGGACCAAGGAATGTGGGTGACCTTGAGAACCTGAAAAAGGCAAAGAAATAGATTCTCCTCTAGGAATGGATGAAGGGCTGTGGACACCTGGAGTTCAGCCTGGTGAGGCCCACATCAGACACCTAACTGACATTATTGTCATATAAACTTGTGTGGAAGCTACTGTGCTGGCTAGTCTTATGTTATCTTGACACATTATCTGAAAAGAAGGCATCTCAATTGAGAAAATGCCTCCAAAGGTACAGCTGTAAAGCATTTTCTTAGTCGTTGATGGGGAAGAGCCCAGACCATTATGGGTGGTATCATCCCTAGACTGTTCTATAAGAAAGCAGAATAAGCAAGCCATGAGGAGCAAGCCGGCAAGCAGTACTGCTCCATGGCCCCTGAATCAACTCTTGCCTCCAGGTTCCTGTCCTGTTTAGGTTTCTATCCCAACTTCCTTCAGTGACAGTGATATGGAAGTGTAAGCCAAATAAACCCTTACCTCCCCAAGTTTGTTTGGTCATGGTGTTTCTTCACAGCAATAGCAACCCTAACTAAGATAGCTACAGAACTCTTGGTGATTTGTTCTGAGAGCAATAAAAAGTGGCACATATTTTGGAATAGTTAGGAGACAGAGAGACCAATCCATCCTAGAATATGTTTGAACAATTCAATCACAAATGTATCTACATGGTGATGTTTCATACAAACTTATTCATATAGCATGTATATATTTACAAACAGTGCCCCTGCTGTCTGGTTTTAATAATGGTCTAAGGGATTCCTTTCTCTTAAACAAAAGCTATTCATTTTTCCAAATGATTATCTCTTTTGTATCATATCTATGAAGCAGGCTTTGGAATCCCACTCAATATGAATTTCACCAAACTAGGAATCTTACACTTTTGACAATGACCCAGCTGTGCTGTTGACTGATATGTACATTTTTGTTTGGAAAAGTAGAAAAAGTGGTTGCATCCATTTTTTTGAATGCATATTTTGAAAACTACATTATTCAGGCTGAGTTTTTGACAACATTTTCATTCAAGTCTCTTTGTGTGTAGACAGATTTCTTTCCAAAGTGTTAATACAACAGAATCCTCACATGCTTTAAGTCTGACTTCTGCCTGGTCCATCACGGCTCTTCGTCATGAGCTTTCGGCCCAGTGTGTAGAGAAAGTATCCTCATGTAACCGGGATGCCTCCCTTGCTCATTCCTATTGTCAGCTGTACTTTGGCTCAACTCTGCATTTGCCTGTGTCTCTCCTAGATGACAGCAGAGCTGGTGTCCAGACAGCTCTCAGGAGAAAGAAAATGAAAAAGAACCCAGGACCCTCTACCAAGTCCAGGGGTCAGATGGCGTCTGTGGGTCTTTCCCTTCACCCCCTGAGTACACACAGATTTTGTTAAGGTTTGGGGGAATCTAAAACCTTAAAAAAAAGTCTACTCTAGCTTACTTGTAAATCTGAGAGCAGCAAAATCTAGAAGCAAGCTGTTTGGAGCAAGGCCGTGACTGTATTTATGTCATCAATCTTATCTGTTCTAATTTTTCCTTTCCCTTTGAGTTGAACCTGATTTTTATGGAATGCTTTTAACTTGACCATTGGTTATTAAAATGTCTAGATTGAATGACTTACAAGAAGAAAGCAAATCTGCTGTCTCATAGTCCTTTTCCTCCCCCCTTTTGGTGAGTTCTTTCTTGTCGTGAGCAGGCCCTGTAGCCTCCCAGTTCCATTTTTGTGGCAACAGCATTCCACACCAGCAACTGAGTGCCCTTTCTGACCTGAGGTTCAATTTTTGAGACAGTGAGACCCTGTCTGAAAGAGCAAACAGCAAAGGAACAAACCTTCCTGCTCTCTCCCGTCTAAAGCACCTCCTTCCTTCAGCTGGGCAAGCCCTAGAACAGGACATGGAAAGCAGGGCTGGTAAATGCCCCCCCATTTTTAGTGTTCCCTGGAGCCCTGCCTCTGTTCAATAGCAGCTGGTGTAAGCCCCTCCGGGTTGGGGAGGTTAAGAGAACACGATGACTGGGGCCGGTGTAGGCGTCTTGTTTGATGGGCTTAGCTGTGAAATGATGCTGGAAGTAGAGGATGCTCTCTCTCCCATGAGATGCTCCCATTGCTTCCACAGTAGGAAAGAAGAGGGGCCAAACACCAGGTTGGCCTCATTAAAAGAAATTCAGCTCTTCTTCTAGGGCCTGGTTTAGGGGGCCCATTCTGGCCTAATCCAATCCCACTAATGTGCTCTGTGGTCACAAGGATGGTTTTACATTTTGCCTTAAGATATGTGTCCTTGGACCTTGGAGGACTAATTCAGTCTGGTTGTCTAGACTTTCCAATTTTCTCACAGGAACTCCTATGTCCTTAGTTCTGGGCAGACTGACTGGTCACCTTATTTGGCATTTACTAAATTGGTCACAACTATTAGACCTTCTATAAAAATCTTGCATAAACAGTGGGGAATTGACAACACTGTCACCCCTCTAGAGATCAATACTGACCATAACAATTATTTTTAAATAACTTTAAATCATATTCTGACCATGATTGTTTTTATGGGGTCTGTGATGGATTTCATGTTATTACATGGGCAAAACGGCATCTGGATGCAGCAAAAACTGAATCTTGCCTTGCTCAGCTACTTTATTTGAAAACAAAATACAGTGGGGCTGTACTGTGAATTAGCTTGATCTAAACTCCAAATCTCCTTGTACCCACACCTCAGTGGGCTAGAATAAACATCAGTATTTTTCCTTTTTCTCTTCAAAATGTGAGGCCTAAATATGTTCAATAAAAGGTCCAGCAGACCCACCAGACCCAGAAAAAAAAACAAACCACTACACAGAGTTAGAGAGAAAAGAACTCTGTTTTTCTATATTTGCTGCGTTGGCTGAGCCTGTCACCAGAGCTGGAATAGAGAAAGAACAGCTGCAGGAATTAATCATGTGAAAATCTTCTGTGGGCCCTATGAAAAGAGGGAGGAAGGAGGTATTCTCAGGCATGTCTTACCTGAGTCCTGGGAGCATCTTGGGTGAGAGGAAGGAGGAGAGGCCCTTGGAAAGCCATTCCTGAGTGGTAGCCCTTCTGTTCCTGGTGTTCTCACCATCCACAGAGAGGAAGGAAGAGTGTTAGTTTCCATAACAGCTTTATGTAGCTGAGTTCGCCACCAAGGCACTTCCTATTTACTCACTGTGTCTGAGAATTTTGATCATGCAGCTGGAACAAGATCCAGAGCCCTGGGCCTCTGCAGTGCTGCTTCCATTGACCTGAAGAGTGGAGACAATCTCTGCCACACAGAGATACACACATGCATACATACATACATACCCACCAGTGATTGCACATCAAGGTAGCCCCGAGTGGTAGGGAGAGACCTGGGTCCGAACTTTCTTTTCTATGACTACATGGACTTGGGCCTGTCCCTTGGCTCTTAGCTCAGTTTCTTCATTTCTAAAGTAAGAGGGTGATTTATGTCAGCTATCCTCAGTCCGTTGTAGTCTTGATCAGCTACCTCTCAAACAGTCTCAGCACCACGGACAGCGCTCACTCTCCCACCCCACAACCCCCACCACCCACCAAGGTTTCTGCACTGATGACAGGCAGGGCAAGCTTAGCATATCATCTCCCAGAAATTTGCTTGAGGAATTTTCATCTGTACTTCTATGGAATTGCAGCTCTGCTCCACATAGAGTTTTCAGATTATTCTTGAACTTTCTGGGGTTCTCTCTCAGCAAAGACAGAAAATGCCGTTGTGAGGGAGACATGGAGCAGAGCAGACAAAAAGGAAGTAGCAATGGTCTCCACCCAACTTTATTAGGTTGCCTGTTGTCTTAGTTAGGTTTTCTACTGCTGCAATAAAACACTATGACCAAAAAGCAACTTGGGGAGGAAAGGATTTATTTGGCTTACACTTGCACATCACTGTTCATCATCAAAGGTAGTCAAGACTGGAACTCAAACAGGTCAGGAACCTGGACGCAGGAGCTGATGCAGAGACCATGGATGGGTGCTAATTACTAGCTTGATCCCCCTGGCTTGCTCAGTCTGCTTTCTTATAGAACCTAGGGATAGCACCACCCACAATAGGCTGTGGCCTTCCCCATTAATCACTAATTAAGAAAAGTGCCTTACAGGCTTGCCTACAACCCAGTCCCTCCTGTCAGATGACTTTAGATGTGTCAAGTTGACATAAAACTATCCGGCACAGCCATCATCTCTTCTCCCTGCTTGCCCAGTCAATGCTCAAATGGACTCATGACCGGCTACCATCTACAGCAAAGTGACATGGCTACTAAGCATCTGTCAGAACCACTACAGCATTTGTATATTTCATGGTTAGGTAGCAACCAGTGGGAGTCCGAAGAATTTTATTGATGTCAAATTTCTCTTCTTAAGCATCCTAGATTTTTTTATAAATTTGACAGAGGTGGACTGTCAGTCATTATGTATCCAGTGATCTCCTTTAAGAAAAGACTTCAAAGCTAGATATTTGTAGATCAGAATTTCCCAAGTGCCATTCTGCATTTAGAAGAATGACTCAGGGAGGCCTGTGCACCTGCAAAGTGAAACAAAGAAATCTTCTCTTTCAGTTCCACAACTGAGCAGAAATGAAGCTGCACATTTCAAAGCTGAGTTGCTTCCTGTGACATGTGGTCACATGGAGGGAGTGTTACACAAGAGGAAATTCGAGCAAGGTAGGTTTTGTGATCTTTAATTTGCAACTGATAAAGAAAGGAATAAAAAGAAGTAATGGATTACTTAAGGAATTGGGGAAGGTGTGGCTTGAAAACAGGAAGGGATCCTAACATGCTCTTTTTGCACTTGAAGAAACAATATGGATGCCATGAGATGCTCAGAGAACCAGAGAAACTTCCATCCATAGAAGGAAACTATTGTATATTTTTCTTCTAGCCAGCCATAAACAGGAAGAAACCCTCAGCCTCTGCCTTCACATCCCTGGGTCAGTAGCACCAGGGGAGGGCACTTGTCACAGTGAGACCATCATAGGATTGAGAATCAGAGAACCTTAGTGCAAGACTCAGCTTTCCAAGTGTGATGGTCTCAACTATACAGGGGGTGGAGGGTGGGGCTTTCTGAGCCAGAATTTTCTCATTTAAAAGAGACAATAATAAGCCAAGTGTGGTGGCCCTTAATCCCAGCACTTAGAGGGCAGAGAGTGGTGATTTTCTGTGAGTTCGAGGCCAGCCTGGTCTACACAGTGAGTTCCAGAACTGCCAGAACTACATAGTGAGACCTTGCCTCAAAAATAAATAAATAGGACAATAATGATATATATTTGAGAATTAATTTATATCATTAATATCATGTATTTGGTAATCACAGGCTCTAACTTTTGCAAAAGAACTGTCTACTATGATGGACTTCATCTCAGATCTCTATTTACTTGTTTGTTGGTTGGTTGGTTGGTTGGTTGGTTGGTTGGTTGGTTGATTGGTTCTTCAAGACAGGGTTTCTCTGTGTAACAGCCTTAGCTGTCCTAGAACTCATTTTGTAGACCAGACTGGCCTTGAACTCACAAAGATATACCTGCCTCTGCCTCCTGAGTGCTGGGATTAAAGGTATGTGCCACCACTACCTGGTATTCAGATCTCCCTTAATATGAGCCCTGTGGATGACAGTTAGTAGAAATAGAAACAGTTTTCTTAGTTATAATTCATATATCATACACTGGGCAGTGGTGGAGCACACCTTTAATCCCAGCACTTGGGAGGCAGAGGCAAAAGGATCTCTGAGTTCAAGGCCAGCCTAATCTACAAAGATGAGTTCCAGAACAGCCAGGGCTATGCATAGAAATGCTGTCTCAAAAAAATAAAACAACAGCCATACAATTCACCACTTAGAGTATACAGAACAGTGAGCAGTTTTCTTCTTTGGTGCATGAGAAACACTTATCATGAGAGTATTTTCATGCTCATTCCTACTATACCCTACTAAGTAATCACCCGCCTATTCCTACTCTATAAATTTTCCTATAATATGTGCCACTTGTGACTGCCTTCTTTCACTTAGCATTATGATTTCAAGCATTATTCGTTTATGTAATATATGTTTTTACTGGCTAAATAACATGATATTCCATTGTGTGGCTATGTCTTAGTTAGGGTTTCTATTGCTGCAATGAAGCACCATAACCAAAAAGCAAATTGTGGTTTATTCAACTTACACTTCTAGATTATAGTCAATCACTGAAGGAAGTCAGGATAGGAACTCAAGCAGGGCAGGAGCCTGGAGGCAGGAGCTGATGCAGAGACCATGCAGGGGTGCTGCTTACTGGCTTGCTTCATTCACATGGCTCGTTCGACCTGCTTTCTTTTATAACCCAGGACTAACAGTCCAGGGATGGCACCACCCACAGTGGGACCTCCCACACTGATCACTAATTGAGAAAATGCCTTACAGCTAGATCTCAAGGAGGCATTTCCTCAATTGAGGCTCCTTCCTCTCAGATGACTGATAAAACCAGCCACTACAGGCTATATCATATTTTCTTTATTCATTCATCAGTTTGGATCATTTCTACCTTTGGGTATAATAAATAATGCCTTTTTGAGAATTCATGTACAACATATGGATGAATATAAACACTTGAGGCATGCACACACAGAAGTGGAATTGCTGGGTCATATGGCGATTTATATTTAACTCAGTAAGGAATTGCCAAAATGTTTTCAGTAGTGTCCACACTGTTTTATAGTCCCATCAGCAATGCAGGCTTCTGTAGATGTAACCAACCGTCTTATTAAATAAGAAACACAGAACCAATGCAAAGAAGAAAGCCAAGAGGTCAGAGCTAAGAGCTAAAACCTTACCCTTCCTCCTGCAATGGTCCTACCTCTCTGAAAGAGAGCTACTTCCTGTGTTAAAGTCTTTATATAGACTTTCTGTTCTGCCTTCTCATTGGTTGTAAACCCAACCACATGACCACCTCGTCACTGCCTGTCTGTATAGACCTCCAGGTCTTCTATGGTTGGTATTGAGATTAAAGGCATGTGTATCCAATGCTGGCTGTATCCCTGAACACACAGAGACTTACCTAGCTCTGCCTACCAAGTGCTGGGATTACAAGAGTACGCCACCACCGCCCGGCTTTCCGATGGCTTGCTAATAGCTCTGACCCCCGGGCAACTTTATTTATTAACATACAAATAGCATTTTAATACAAATAAAATATTACCATAGGCTTCCAACTTTCCTATGTCAATAGCTGCTATTTCTTCTTTTTTTTTTTAAATTATGGTCATCTTGGTGGACATGAAATGGTGTGATTTTGCTTTGCATTTTCATAATAATGAAGATACCAATCATATGACTACTTTTTAAACATAATCCATTTTTCCATGTGATAATATTTCATTCATGTTTAATGGTTCCTACCTCTGATTGCAGGGATGGGCAAGCTTCTGCTTAATAGTCTCATTAAATTGGGTAGACAATGACGTCACAGAGTTCCTGAGTTGTGGAAACAGCTGCAGCCTCAGCTCTAAGCTGAGGACTCCACCTCCAACTTGCCTGAGACTCTGGCTGTTCTCCAGCCCAAGAGCTCAACATCAGTTTGAAATCCACTCACCCTGTGGAGTCAGTCACTAGCTTGTCCTTTTCTAGGTTACCCTGAAATAGTTTTAAAAGGTGTCTGTTGGTGGTGATTGTCATTTTCTTCAGGCATGAAAATCAAAGAAACAGGAAAGGCTCTTGAAGCCAGAGCAGAGACCCGACTCTTCTGTTATTGACTTTGAGCATGGTTTGGGTGGATCAAGCTCAGTGTGGTGGGAGGCCATGAATCTGAGCTCTAGGGACAAAGCAGGCTCACGGTCAGCCTACTGTGGTCTTACAGGGGTCTCCGTGAAGTCCATACAGAGTGAGGATGGGGACTGGTACATACCCCCTGAGTTTGAAATCCTGGGAGGCTATGAAAAATCAAGGAACTGGCGATTGAGTCTGCGCTGCTACGACAGACCCCTGAAATTGCTGATCCAGGTACCACAGTGGAGGGTAGGGTGGCAGTGCTCACTTTCTCTTTCACTCTTTACTGAACACATTATTATTGAGTTACAGGGAAAACCCTGATGCTAGTGTGAAGTTTTCTCACCCAGGAGAGAGAGACACACACACACAATCTCAGTTCAAAGCAGCACACCCATGTGAACACAGGGTAGATGCAGGATCCTGAGGTGGCAGTGGCCATTCTGACTAGGGAACACACAGAGAAGTCTCAGCACTGAAGCCAAAGAGAGTTGACTCTCAAACAAGTGGGAGACAGTCCAGAGAAAGAAGGCATCCCAAAGAAGCCACCACTAAAACAGCTGTGTGCACATAGGGCATGAGGTATGTGTACTGCATAACACATCAGTCGGGCTCCTTCATGCAGGACTTTAATTCTATCCTGATCAGCTCAAATCTGACATTTAGACAAGCAAGCTGTTTTAGTCAGGGTTCTCTAAAAGAATAGAACTGATAGATGAGCATATATATTCAACTGATAGATGAATATACATATGTAACTAGCAACTCAGTGTCAAAATCCACAATTTCATATCTGCATTTTTTTGAAACTGGAACAGAAGATTTCTTCTTCTGTCTTACTTTGTAGGTGTGCATATATGTGCATATACATATATATGGAATGTGTGATTGATTAGATATATAGTTATTATATATTATGTATAATTATATACTACATAATATGTATTAAATATATTATATATACATATATATATGATTTATGATTTATTAGAGTGGCTTAGAGGCTGTGGTCCAGGTAGTCCAAGACTATCTGTCTCCAAACTAAAAAGTCAAGTACCTGGTAGTTGTTCAGTCCATGAGACTGGGTATCTCAGCAGTCCTAGTCTGGTGCTAGAGTCTTGGAGGAATCCAAGAAAGCTGTAGGTCTTCAGCCTATGTCGGAATCCCAAAGAAGCAGTTCTAATACCAGTGAAGGAATACCTCAGCAACAGAATAGATGAACTTGCCAGCAAGAGTGAGAACAAGCAGGCAAACAGCTCTCTTCTCTATCCCCCCCACTCCGTAGTGGGTAGCCATTCCTTAATAATTTCACCAATACCCCCCCACCAGGGTTTGCTATCTTGGTATAGTCCATTAATCAGAGTATCTGATGCCCAGTAAACATGCAACATGCATGTGTTGACTGGCTAGTTCTGGTGTGGAAATTGAAGATGGAATGTCTCAGGTGGGAACAGAGAGATTGTGAGCGAAAACTCAGTGTTGTGGGATATCCACCGGAGAAAACTTCTCAGGACATGGGTTTAAGCCAATAGGAAGTTTTTATTAGCCAGCTGGAGACTATGCTGGGTGTTTGGGATCCCAGGGTAACACTGGGCCTTTCTCAGAGTGAACTTTGAAACACAAAAAAAATATATCCTGGGTTGACATACCTCAGTTAATAAGAACAGTTGACCAAAAGCAGAACTACAGAAACCAAAAGTAAGGTTAGTACATTTAGAGACTTTCCCAGAACAATGGGACTTAATGGATTAAGTCTTTGTTTTCATTTTGGCTGGTGCTACTGTTTACATGCTGAGTTTATGGCCTAATGGTACTTCCATCATGGAGTCAGTTGTACTAAGGTCTGGGACCCTGTTATATTGGGACTTAAAAAGATGTTCCAGAGAAAGAGAGAGGGCTCTAAGGAGGACTTTCTCAATTTTATTCATCAGAGTCTGCAACACATGGTGGAACACCCAGCAGAAACCTTTAGGACGAGGTTGGCAATACCAGACTCACACTACAGATCAGATTAACCACACACTTAGATCTTTTATCTTTCAGAAAAATCTTCTACCCAAGCTTCCAAAAGTACGTTGCAGGATCAAAAAGGTGAGTGTGATACAACTTCTCATAAGTTCTCATCATATAACTGATTTTATGTGGACAGCATCTTATTTTAGGAATCTCAACGGGCGGGTCATAATTAAAATCAATCTTCCATCGCCCACTCCCACCGCTAGTTTCTCTTTTTACTTTTCTTTATCCCTTTCTTGCTATTCCATTGAACACAATGCTAGGCTTGTCCTTGAATGCTGACTCCTTTGAGGTGGGGATAATAAAAAGCACTCAAAATAGACCTCCGAGTTGTGGTTTAATGATGGATGAAGTGTGTTTTGTTTGGTTGGTTGGTTGGTTGATTGGTTGGTTGGTTGGTTGGTTTAGTTCAGTTTGGTTTTTTCATGATGGGGTTTCTCTGTTGTAGCTTTGGATGTCCTGAAACTCACTTTTCAGAACAGGCTAGCCTCGAACTCATGGAGATCCACCTGCCTCTGCCTCTTGAGTGCTGGGATTAAAGGTGTAGGCCACCAGTGCCTTGAAGATGAAGTTATTTTAAAGCATCAAAATTGAAAACACAAATATGATTATGGAATACATAGAAGCATCCCATAATAATCTTAAACTTAAGGTTGGGTTTATTGTTTTCCTTAACTTTACTATTTTCTAACTTTTTTGTTTGTTTGTTTTTGTTTTTGTTTTTCAAGACAGGGTTTCTCTGTGTAGCTTTGCGCTTTTCCTGGAACTCACTTGGTAGTCCAGGCTGGCCTCGAACTCACAGAGATCCACCTGCCTCTGCCTCCCAAGTGCTGGGATTAAAGGCGTGCGCCACCACTGCCCGGCACTATTTTCTAACTTTAAAGGAATCTGATGGAGAAAAAATTTCCACACAGTATTCAGATGACTAGACTCACAGGCATCTTCTGTCTTCTGATGCAAAGTGCACTCATCTCTGTCTGCTTCCTGATTGTGGATGAAATGGATGCTCTAGCCATTCTGCTGTCCATGCTTTGAGGAACTGCACCTTCAAGTCATACACCAAGATAAGTAGATGTTGAGCATAGGGTATGTATGAAGCTACATGTCATTTTAGGAGATACGCACCTCTATCTCTTAAACAGTAATGTTTCCTGTTCTGTAGCAAGAATCAGGAGATTAACCAAAGGAAAAAATGCTTTCATTTTCTTCCTTTTATGCAGTTCAGTACCTCAGCCCATGGAATGGTGCTACCCATGTTCAGGGGTCTTCTCTCCTCAGTTAAATCTTTCTGAAAACATCCCCATAGATATACCCAGAGGCATCTCTACTAGGTGGTTTCAAATCTAGTCCAGGTGACAATGAAGATTAGCTATCATAAGTCTACCCCTTGTCAAACTGGCACAAAATATATCATAACATTATACCCTTGGCCCCATAAGTTAATACCCATAATACAAAATATGTCTCTATCTATCTGTCCGTCTGTCTATCATCTATCTCCCTCCTTCCCTTCTTCTGTTTCCTTTCCTCCTTCCCTCCCCTGTAGACACCATAGGACTAGCAGCCTCAATTTCATGTCACCACCATGCCCTCTCTTCTGTGATGAGCTGTCCCTTCAAACCAGGAGCCAAAGGAAACCCTTTCTTCCCTTTTTTGCTTTTGCTCAGGTATTTAGTCATAGCAACCAGAAAATGAATCAGCAACCAAAGGCACAGTCCTCTTCTGGCCCTTCCCATACTTTTCCACCTTCCAATAAGACATATACACAGAAAATTCTTCCTCAATGGAAAAATTATTTGCCTTTGGGAGGACAATGCTTCTGGAGAGGAAGGTCCTGGGAGATGTGGCTTATAGGAAGGACTGACCTGGGAAGATGTGTTGTAGCTGGAGTTTTCCTGCCTGGCCCACAGTCAGGACAAATCTCTGTCACCTGCCAGTCCCACAGCCACTCAGACCCGACCAACTAAACACAGAGACTTATATTGGTTACAAACTGTATGGCCATGGCAGGCTTCTTGCTAACTGTTCTTACAGCTTAAATTAATCCATTTCTATTAATCTATACCTTGCCACGTGGCTCGTGGCTTACCGGCATCTTCACATGCTGTTTGTCATCGTGGCGGCTGGCAGTGTCTCTCTGACTCAACCTTCCACTTCCCAGCTTTATTCTCCTCCTTGTCCCGCCTACACTTCCTGCCTAGCCAATGGCCAATCAGTGTTTTATTTATTGACTAATCAGCAACACATTTGCCATACAGAACATCCCACAGCACTTCCCCCTTTTTTTTTCAAAAAGGAAGGTTTTAACCTTAACAAAGTAAAATTACATATAATTTGGGAATTTGGGCGTAGCTTCTCTTACTACTTCCTGCTGGAGGGGGGTGCTGTATCTTATGGGGAAACAAAGAAAATTTTAGGATTATGGAATAGTCCATGAGGCTGTATCGTCTGAGCCAGTTGCCTTGAAACCATTCTGGATGTTGGATCATCTGGGCCATGGTGTCATCGGAGACCTTTCAGGAGGTCTTGGCTGGTCAAACCTGATGTATCTTAATCTTGAACAAATCCATAGCCTCTGACTTTCTGTGGGAACAAAACCAGAGTCTCCTTCCCAAAGCAACATATCCTTATATTCAAATTTTGAAGTCAAGGTACCTTTAAAACATGCATTTTGGCATAACTCAACAGCTTTTACAATCAAATGTTTTTCTGCAGTTAAAAGTCCCAAAGACAACACAATGCAGATTCCCTGTGTAATATCCACTTTTACGTGGCTTATTTTTTATATTAATTTTACTGTCTCTTTAAAGACTTTATTTTTGAAAACTATGTATTTGTTTCTATAACTGTATATATCACCTTTTTTGTCTCTTTCAAGCCTATGTATATTTTACACACATTGTAAACTATCACATCTGAATCTGTCTTATTGTGTATCTCTTGCTTTAAACTGCAGCAGCTGTGGCTGCTGGCTCTGCCCACCTCAGCTTCCCAACATGGCTACGTTTACCACCAGCTCTGGGAGCTATCGTGGGTCTATGCTTTTATCCAAGCAGCGTGTAGACCAGAAACCTCTTTTTTTTTTTTTTTTTTGTACTAGCAAAGTCTAAATCCACCATGCAGCTTAATGTGCCACTTGCAGAGGCCTCATTCCCACCATATTGCAGGTCGAGCATGCATGCTAGGAACCCACAAGTAGATCAAACCGGCAGCTGCCGCTCATTTGAGAGAGACAATTAGGAAGCTGTTTTTAGCTCCGTTTTAGAATCTTTTCTCTCAGTTTTTAGGTGGAAACTCTTGCCACACGTTGGACGCCATTTGTAGCTTAAGTTTTCCTGCCTGGCCCACAGTCAGGACAAATCTCTGTCACCTGCCAGTCCCACAGCCACTCAGACCCGACCAACTAAACACAGAGACTTATATTGCTTACAAACTGTATGGCCGTGGCAGGCTTCTTGCTAACTGTTCTTAGAGCTTAAATTAATCCATTTCTATTAATCTATACCTTGCCACGTGGCTCGTGGCTTACCGGCATCTTCACATGCTGTTTGTCATCGTGGTGGCTGGCAGTGTCTCTCTGACTCAACCTTCCACTTCCCAGCTTTATTCTCCTCCTTGTCCCGCCTACACTTCCTGCCTAGCCAATGGCCAATCAGTGTTTTATTTATTGACTAATTAGCAACACATTTGCCATACAGAACATCCCACAGCAATGTGTACTGCAATGCCATCCCATTGGCTCTGCTGGAAGAGCTATACAGTTCCCTTTACATTTGTGAAGGAGATTCTCCCACTGTGGAGGAAGGCACCAAGTTGGGTAAAAACAGGGAAGAATCAGGACAAATATCTAAGAGTGAATGCTGATAACAACCCAAGGGGACACAGCATTCTTATACACTACAGGTAGAGATGTCCATCCAAGGCATTCTTGGGCTTCCACACACAGGCTTCTCAGGGACTGATAGGCTTCACATGTCACTGGCCACTGGGATTCATAGCCCACTGAGAATTTAAGACTTGGTCCTTTATATCATTTGTAATTTGCATCATTATCTGGCTCATTAGAACCCCGAACCACTGGAACAGTTCATTGACTGGGTTTTTTAGAGGGAAACCATTATTTGACCAATTCAGTGATTACTTTAAAGCCCAACATCACTGAAACCTGCCTCTGTTTTTATTTTTTTATTTTTTTCAGACAGGGTCTCACTATGTAGACCAGGCTGGCCTCAAACTCTTAGAGATCAGAATGTCTCTTCCTCTACCTCCTGAGTGCTGGAACTAAAGGTGTGCACCACCACACTCAGCTGAAACCTGCCTCCTTGTATGTCTCCACAAAGGCTCTCTGGGGACTGAGAGCCAGAGAGAGGAACTTGCATTGAGCCAAACAGTTGTTAGATGATACATCTTAGTCTCCTAGGAGATGATGCATAGGTCCATAAAAGTAGGTATGGGAAAAAGAAATATTTTAAAAGAAACATTTTAGACAGGATGATTTAAACCAATTTTTTGTTTGTTTGTTTTTTGTTTTTTCAAGATAGGGTTTCTCTGTGTAGCTTTGGTGCCTTTCCTGGATCTCACTCTGTAGACCAGGCTGGCCTCGAACTCACAGAGATCCGCCTGGCTCTGCCTCCCGAGTGCTGGGATTAAAGGCATGCACCACCACTGCCCGGCTAAACCAATATTTTTGATCAAAGAATTTAAAAGTGAGTGTACCTGAGAGCTCCCTGCAGGTGCGTGAGGACGTAGTGACAATGTGAGAAACACATTCGATAGATCGGGGTAGAGAGGCCTTATATGGCTGAAACATCTTGTTTGGTTTTACTGTTTGCATTAGGCTCTGATTTGTTTAGGTGGGAACTCCAAGCACTCCAAGATGCTCCTACCCAGTAGTAATGGTGGCACATGTCTGGAATCCCAGCGCATGGAAGGTAGAAGCAGGAAGGTCAGTTCAAGTCCAGCCTTGCTCTCTTTATACAGTGCAGGACCCCAGCCCAGGGAAGGTGCTTCCACCTTTAGGTTGGGCCCTTCTACCTTAGTTAAACTAATCAGCCTAGTCCCTCACAGGCGTGCCCAGAGGTAAGTAAGTCCTCACAGGTATACCACACCGTTCGTCTTCCAGGTGACACAGGGATGTAAGATTCTTAGCCATTTGATTCCTTTGCTCCCTTGTTCTTCCGGAGAGGGAGGCCAGGACATCCTTGACAGTCATGATGAATGCCCATGAGCCTCTGCATTCAAGAGAAGGAGAGTGGGTCCGTGTTTCCACGCCAGGGCAGCTTTGCTCTCCTGCTTCAAGGATCCTCCATGGCACTGAATGGCAGCCTTCAGTACTTCCTTTGGTATGGCTATTTTTTTAAAAGAAAAAAATAGGGACCAGCATACTAATACACCTATTTGGTGTATTTAGTGGACCTTGCTGGAACAGAAAAAAACTTTTAAATAAACTTAAAATAAATGTCCATAGGACTGGAGATGGGATAGACTTGGGAAATGAGAGAGAGTATAGAAATGGGATGGACTCCTGGGTTTGTGGTGCATGGAGCACGTTATATAAAATGGAAGCTACAATGAAGGAGCACGGTGCAGGAGGAAGATGCACTGTAGTTTAACAGGATGAGTGTGAGGTGCACCTAGGGAGCCCTAGAGGAGACATCGCTGAGCATTAGGACATGTAGGGCTGCAGAGGAGAGATGAGACGCCCTGAAGCTGAGGACACAAGGGGAAACCTGCAGCTGGGGAATGACTCTGATCATATGGGCAGACTGTGGCCAAGGATGGAAACCTGAGGAATTCCATCCTTTGTGTCTGCATGAGGACGAGGAGAAGGATCCAAGAAGGAAAGTGGTCCAGCAGTTGAGGTGATAGAGCAAAACCACCAAGAATGATGCCACAGGCCAGGCTTCTCCTGAAGGCAGAGATGGCACAGGGCACAGAGTGATTGACCCTGTCACCTTGCCTACTTCCCTTCTTCCCACCACTCACTCAGTGGTGGGCCAGTCCTCAGGCCTGTGCCATGTTTGTCCCTCAGACAGTCACAAGAAAGTAGGAATTCCTTCTAGTTTGAACAGGTGACATAGTGCAGCTCTCTGGGCATGGCTAGTCTATATAAGAAGTCCAAATCCCTGGAGTGCTTCCCAAGACTGTACAGCACTGCCCCACCACTAGAGAGCACTGTGGGGCCCTCCAGACACTGAGGAACTAAGTATCAAAATCCTGCAGTAATCTAGAAGGAACTAGTGAGGCCCTTTAAGGGAACAGGGATGCTCTCGATGGCTCTGTCATTTAACATGTAAAACATGAGAGCCAACCAAGAATACAAGCAAGGTCATCGTAGAGTTAAGAGTAGCAAAGAGCCGGGCTGTGGTGGCGCACGCCTTTAATCCCAGCACTCGGGAGGCAGAGCCAGGCGGATCTCTGTGAGTTCAAGGCCAGCCTGGGCTACCAAGTGAGTCCCAGAAAAGGCGCAAAGCTACCCAGAGAAACCCTGTCTCGAAAAACCAAAAAAAACCCAACCAAACAAAAAAAAAAAAAAAAAAAAAAAAAGAGTAGCAAAGAACAGCAAGTCAAACCGTTATGCTTAGGCACATGCGTGGGAAGACTCCTTAAGATGGCAAAAGGTCTCTTTTGCTGATGGCCACAAGTTTAAAGCCTCACACCCAATGTAATGAAAAGGCTGAGATGTACCCTGTGGAGTAGTCTGCAAGAGACCTATGTAGTCTCACTTCTGATTTAACAGGTTGGGTTTGGTAGCAAGTCTAGGCTAAACATCCCACAGCTGGCTCAGATATGCATTCTAGACTTTCCCATTTCCAAGAATGCTTCAGGCGACCTGGGGAAGCTGAAGGACAAGGATTGCATGAGAAACTACAAATTACAGGGGGGCTTTTGGAACAAATAAAGCAAATTTGACTGTATAGTGTTTCAAGACTGAATCGGACATTTTTTAAAACAGGTCTTCACTGTGCAACCCAGGCCAGCCTGGAGCTCACAGACATCCACCTGCCTCTGTCTCTGCCTATCCTCTTCTGCCTCTACCTCTGCTTTTCTGCCTCTGCCTCTACCGTGGTGGGAATAAAGATGTGTGCTACCATATGCAGCCTGAGAATTTCCTTCCTTTTCAAGGGTGCAAATATTCCGTTGTATACTTGTACGCTTATAACACATTTTGTTTAGCCATTCACCTGTAGTGGGTAACTTTTTCGATTGACAGGGGGCACACAAACCACAGTGTCCCTGTCGGCATCAGGGGACAACTTTATGGAGCCATTTCTCTCCATCTACTTTTAAGTGGATTCCGAGGATTAAACTGAGGTCATCAGGTTTTTTGGCAGGCATCTTTACCCAACATGCTATTTCGCTGGCCTGTGGTGGATATTTGTGCAACTTCCTCCTGGTATCATTTTCTCTCCATCTGACAGAATGGTCTATAAGAAGCAGCTTAAGGGAGGAAGGATTTATTCTGACTCACAGGGACATCCCACCATGACAGGGAAGGCATAGTGGTAGAAACCAATCACAGCTATGGTGGCAGGAATAGGAGGCTGTTTATTCACATCTTGGTCCATGAAACAGAGAGACACAGGAAGTAGGGCCAACCTATAAACCTCAAGGTCATCGCCCAGGGACCCACTTCCTCCCTCTAGGTCCCAACTTTCAAAGGTTTCATAACCTCCCAAAACATCACTACCAACTGGAGATCCAGTATTCAATGCCTTTGGCATGAGCCTTTGTCAGACATTTTACAACCAAATAATAGCATTCTGTCCTGGCCTCCGTAGGTACATGGTCATGTGATAATGCAAAATATACTCAGCCCAACTTTAAAACTTCCCATAGCCCTAACAGTTTAAATATTATCCAAAAGTCCAAAGTCTCATCTGGAAACTCCAAGTGATCTCTGATCTGTCAGCCCCTGTTAAATCAAAATGGAATTTATTTCTTTCCAGCATGTTCCAATGGCATAGAACAGACATTCCTGTTACAAAAGGAAGGAATGGGGACACAGCAGGAAAGTATCACACCAAATTAAGACTGAAATCAAATAGGACAAACACGCACACACACACAAAATCCTGCAGCTCCATGTTTGGCATCTGGGACTGATGACAACATCATCTGTGCTCCAGTGGGCTTGTGTACCCCTGTCCCTCCTGCTCTGTTGCATACATCTGTTTGTAGTCTCTTGGGCCATTTCTACCCAGTGCCTGCAGCTTCCCTTGGCAAACTTTCCACATATCTGATCTTCATTGTAATATAGGCTTCACCTTTACAGCTTCATGCACAACAGCCTCGGGTGCTCCTTAAAGAGAATATGACCAGGTGTTAGACAAAGCTAGGCCTAAGTTGCTCTACATTGTGTAGAAGAGTGTGTTGGGTTCTTATTGTTACTTCTTTCAGAGTGTCTTCCCTTGAGAGACTTCTTTTTTACAAGCAACTTTTGACTCTGCAGATGTAGGGTGACTCTGCACCTGGATGGATGTGAGAACAGCACCCTCTGTTTGGCACCACCTATACAACACAAACTGGCAAATGACTGGGAATAGAAGGGGACCTCTCTATAATTTTATTAGTAAGCGAGGACCGTAGAAGCATATGAGCAAATTAAAATCAAATCAGGAAAACCAAGCCCAAAAATTTATCAGACACACCGGTCTGAGGAAAGCATGTGACTCCCTCATCTGTGCCCTATAATGAGGACACCTAGCACTGTGATGGTGATAGTCCCCACCAACCTATCATCTAACCACTTGAAATGTGTATCAATTGACCAACAGGTGGAGAATTCCTGAATGTCCCAAGGACTTCGATTCAGCTTGGTCTCTGCTGTTGCCACAGATTACTCAAATTACCCATCTACCATCCTCCTCTTGATCCATCTGGACCTGCTCCTGCCTTTTGGGCTCTACAACTGAACTCAACTCTACAGCTCAGCCCTGTCCCTGCAGCCAAATACTACAACAGTAACTTCAGCACCTGTCCAGAGAGCTCCAGCTCATTTATTATCTCACCCTACAGACTCCCATGCACTTTGCCACCTTAAATCTTGGTAGCTAGTCTGTAACTTACATATAAAGATAGAGGGATAGCGGTAGGTAGAGATATATGTTACATATATGTGTGATGTGTGAACTGAGTTAATAATTAATATTGCAATAAAGAACACCTGTTTCCCTTGGTCAGGGTTATTAAGGAAAGTGGGAATATCTGACAGATTGTTGTCAGTGAAAGTGCTGTAGCTTCTGAATTTATTATTATTCAATAAAGCCTTATGTTGTAGAAGGACATAAACATGTTTACCTCTGTTCCTGACATAGCATACTCCTGACATCCTACTACACTTTGCCTGGCTTCCGTGGCTTTCTGGAACCTTGGTGCAAGCTTTCATGACTCCCTCACTCTTGAGTTTTCCACACTTGCAGAATCAGTACCATGAAGATGGTGCCAAGTTCTGCTGCCAGCTCAAGATGTGGCCTGGCCCCTCTTGAGCAACTCCCACAGCCTTTCTGTGGCTTCATAACTGAACTGAGAAGACAGTTAGTTAGGCAGCCATTTTTAACAGGGTACCCTTGAGATGCTGTCATTTTAGACACACTGTCATACCAAGTGAACTTACATTGTTATATTCTGGAACTTCCCATGGGTCTGTTCTTGTCCTCAAGGTACCTTTCCTATTGTCCTCATGCAAGTCTGGGGTTTCTCCTTAATGTTGCCAATTTTTTAATAATTGCATTTATTTTGTATACACTATCCCAGAATTTAACTTTAGCTGGCTTCGGGGTCCTTTCCTTATCAGACTTCAATTCCTGTCACAACTTTCCTTTTCTCACCAAATTACACATTTTCTATGTCTTCTTGCCCTCACTCACTGTAAATCTGGGTAAGTTCAGTGAGCAATAACCACTCCATAGCCCCCAGGTTACACTGTCTTGAAATTTTCTTCACTAAACCAATTAGTCTATTATTTTAAAATTCAGTCTCACTTACATTTTCAGAATGTGGCCTGAAGATAACCAGACTCTGTGCCAAGTGTAGCAGAAATGACCTCTACTCCAGTTCCTGTTAGTCTTTCAGAAACTTTGTAAACCTGGCCTTCACTGTCTACATTCCGACTTATAACCTCGACATTTAATCTCTCACTAGAACAGCCCATTGAACTCTAGCCTACAAGGCCAAACTCTTTCCCATTCCTCCCACAGGCCACTTCCTAGTCTCTATAAGCATGGTAGGTAATTTTTTAGAGCTGAGGACCAAACCCAGGGCCTTGCGCTTGCTAGGCAAGCACTCTACCACTGAGCTAAATCCCCAACCCCATCTTGAACCATCTTTAGCCTTCTTGAGAGGCAGGTATCATCCACCTCAGTGTTTGACCTAATGGCCCAGGACTATAAGGTAAAATCTTTTTTTGCATCTATTAACAATCCCTTAGCTTCCACCAACCGAAAGGCTAAGAATGTCATCAGGCATCATCTGAGGCCTAGAGCAGAGGTTTCCCACTTCTCTGTAACCACCTATGTATTGGAAATCTGCCTTAATTTATTATGACTTTATTTTGTTTTTTTACTATAAAAATTTCATGAAACTATTGCCAGATTGGTACATGGCATTCGGTTCCCAGTTTGTTAAGTCATATTTTACTCCAGAAGAAATTATCTCATGTTCCCTTTGAGATGAAAGTTGTGTTTTTGTAATCAGCACCCTCCTCCTCTCAGTGACTATTTCCTTCATTTAGACCTTTTTAATTATTTGTTGATGTTATTTACCTGGTGCAAGAAAACATGAGGTACAATGAAACCCACTGTAAGAGTTTTTATTAGGGAAGGGGAAGGGTGGAGGTGGGTAGGTCTACCAAAAAGGAAGGTGCAAAGGTGCAGGGTGGGTGGGTGTGCTACCTCTGGGGAGAGGAAGAGAGAGCAGGGAGCTGGTAGAGCCTGCTTTCATAGGTCACCTTGCAAATGCATATGTGGGCTTACGTAGCTACGCCATGGATACACATAGATTACATGACCATGCTGTGCACGGATTATGTAGGACGTAAGGCCCTGGAGTAACTAAGCATTTTGCCTCACTGTTGACAGCACATGCATGGTCATGTGACTCCAGAAGTTGCTAGGAATAATAATATTCCACCCTTTTTGTTATTACAAAAAGTAAGGGGTTAGGGGTGGAGGGTGAATGAGAATGGGGGCGTTGTGTCTCTCAGAGCTGCTTCCAGCTGACTTGGCGGGTGATGGTTAATGTTTCTGGGGGGTGAAGAGGGGCTTTTCTTGAGGTAGCCAGATGTTCTGAGGTAGCTGATTGTCTTTGCTGCTGTTTTGAGCCCTGTGGGATCGGCCAGCGCTGCTTGGATCTGAGAGCTTGGATCTGAGAGCTTGGACCCGACAAGCTGAAGTGGATCTGACTGTCCAGGTGGGTCCAAGCCGACACCTAGAGCTCAGAAGAATTTTTAAGTTTAAGGAGACAAATTTTAGACATATGAAGAAGCAACCAAAGGGAATTTAAAATCTTGAGCTGGTAGCTATGATATTATAGTGTTTAGTACTCTGCTATCAGAATTTTATTGGTTAGTGTTAAAGTTATGGATTCATATAGCAAGAGCAAGTGAGAGAGAGAGAGAGAGAAATCTGGAACATACTTTCTGCTTTCTATTATTATCAATTAGGCTCCACCTATCTTCACCTGAGACAAACCTTAAGGCACCTGATGCCTTTCATCTTTGAGGTGTCACTTCAGCATCCAAGAGACACAGGTGATTGATTGTTGAGGGCATTTAACTGTAATAAACGGCTACATTAAAGCCTGTTTTTATAGAGTCCAGACCCTTTTGAGTCTGGGGGTGTGAATACCTCTGGAATGTTACTGTTTCTTACCGCCTGGGTATATTTGATGGTCCTTGTGCCTCTAGCTCTATGGCTGATGATGGTCCTGTAACAGTTAGCTGAGTAGTTAATTAGAAATTTGAGTATGTTATTAGAGACACAGAGGGAAACTGATGAAGCAGAATGTGGTTGGTAGAGACAGGAGAACTCGGAGAGGGAATCAGGAAGAAAATCCAGTGGGATTGAGTATGGTTTTGGGATGAAACCTCATTCTTCTGGAATTGGAGACAAGGCAGTTGATCTCGGCATCCTCTGGAACTTAAGAGAGCAGGGCCCTATTTGTATCACCATGGGTTGGGAGTGGGGTAAAAGGCTAGGAGGAGGAGAAGAGGAGCTGCTGGTGAGTCTGGGGTTGGGTGAATAGGGGAATCAAATGAAATGGAAGCTCCTACTTTGGCTAAAACATCTCTTCCCATTAGGGGCACAGGGCAAGTTGGCATAACCAAAAAATGTGTGAGTAAGAGGGATACCCCTGAAAATACAATTAAGTGGTAGGGTCTGATGAGGTACGTAGGGATGTCCCCCTACCCTGACAACAGGGAGACGAGAAGGAGAGGTGGGTTCCCAAAACTCTCTCAGGACCAAGTACGTGGCCCCAGTGTCCATGAGGAAGGAAATGGGTCTCCCCGATACTGTAATGGCTACCTGAGGCTCTCTGTGGGAGATGACAGTTATTGGGCTGGCACCTGGGCACCTTCATCATCCATGGTCAAGCCTAGAAGGTTGGCTGGAGGGTGGTCTGCTGTGGGATGTTCTGTATGGCAAATGTGTTGCTAATTAGTCAATAAATAAAACACTGATTGGCCATTGGCTAGGCAGGAAGTGTAGGCAGGGCAAAGAGGAGAATAAAGCTGGGAAGTAGAAGGCTGAGTCAGAGAGACACTGCCAGCCGCCATGATGAGAAACAGCATGTGAAGATGCCGGTAAGCCACGAGCCATGTGGCAAGGCATAGATTTATAGAAATGGATTAATTTAAGCTGTAAGAACAGTTAGCAAGAAGCCTGCCACGGCCATACAGTTTGTAACCAATACAAGTCTCTGTGTTTACTTGGTCGGGTCTGAGAGGCTGTGGGACTGGCAGGTGAGAAAGATTTGTCCTGACTGTGGGCCAGGCAGGAAAACTCAAGCTACAGTGGTCTGCATTTGATGTCCCTATGCCACAAGGTGCAAGGGGTCAGTCAACTGACCAATGTCCCTCTTGGTGGCACTTTGGACGTGGCTCCAGTGGCCTGCCCACATGGGGCAGGGCAAGTGAAAGCTCAATGGCCTTTTCAGCCACATTTAAAACAAGGACCTGGGGGACCTCAGGCAGCCGGTCGGTTGGCCTTGGCCAGCATTTGGTATTCCTGTTTATGGACTTTCTCATCTCTCCCATAGTACGCCTTAAATGCCAGTGCTAAGACTTCTGCCTGTGGACCCAGGGTCCCTCTCTCCAGATGCTTAAGTTTGGCCCTAATGTTGGGGAAGCTGGGTCATATGGAGCTGTCTGCCCTCTGGGCTCTCAGGGTCTAGATTAGTGTATTGTAAGAGGGCCTTTGTAAGTCATTCTAGAAATTGAGATGAATTCTCTTGTCTGTCTTGAACTATGTCTTGAAGCTTTTCATAGTTTACTGGTTTGAGGGCAGCCTTACGAAGACCTGCTAGGAGACAGGTCATAAACTGATCCCCAGCTAGAGTGCCACCTGGGGTATTATAATCCCATCATGGGTCCCGTTCGGGTACTGCTTCTGCTCTGGGAGGACATGAGGCATTAGTCTGATGGACCTCATCTGCATGTATCCTAGCCTGTTCCCAAACTCGTCTGCACTCCTCAGGAAATAGGTTGTTAGTCAGGATCATGTATATATCATGAAAGGTGAGACTATAGGATTGGGTGATGTATTGGAATTCTTTAATAAAAGAGGTATAGTTGGACATATAAGAACCCAGTTTCGCCGGGCAGTGGTGGCGCACGCCTTTAATCCCAGCACTTGGGAGGCAGAGGCAGGTGGATCTCTGTGAGTTTGAGGCCAGCCTGGTCTACAAAGTGAGTTCCAGGAAAGGTGTAAAACTACACAGAGAAACCCTGTCTCAGAAAAAAAAAAAAAAAAAAAAAAAAAAGAACCCAGTTTATTTTCTATTTGAGAGAGTTCTGCCAGTGAGAAAGGGACATACATGTACCTTAACCAGTCCATTCACCCCGACTACCTCTCACAAAGGGAGGATGGCCACCAGGTTGCTTTGACTAGGGTGGGGTTCGTTGGCAGCTGGAGAACATGTGGCAGGAGTAAAGGTGGAAACCAGAGTTGGGCAGTTGGAGCAGCCCGCTAGCAGAGAGGAGGAAGGGGCTGGAGGAGCCGAAGGAATAGTCACTAGAGAGGTCAGAAAAGCAGGCGTTCACTAGCAAGGTCTAGAGTAATAGTGAGAGATTCTTCTGGTTCGGGTTGCAGAGCTAGCAGCTTGTGGGCAGGTGAGTAGGAATCAAGGAGTGGGTTTGGAGCTAAGATAGAAAAAAGCTTGGAAATGAGGTAACCCTTTCCATTTGCCTGTTTGTTGACAGAAGTTAGTTAACTCCCGTAAAATATCAGGGTCCAGTGAGCCATTAGGTGCCCATTTTTTATTGTTATCTAAGGGATACTTGGGCTATTTTTTAGTGCAGAGGCAGATAAGCTTAGAAGTCTGTAAATAAGGCATTAAGCTGAGAGGTTTGAGGGTTTCTAAAAGGCATCCCAGAGGAGATGTGGGACTTATGGGATTGGAGGCCTTGTTTCCCATGACTGTGGCAGAGAGAAAAAAGAAAAAACAAAATAAAATAAATGAGATCCAATGGCTATATTATATCAGGCACCCCAGAAATTAAGCAAGGATGGATAATGGCACAAGTTGCTCAGTGTTCCATTGAGCAAAGATGGAGGACCGAGGTGGTAGCCTGAGGATGAGGGTCCGAGAGATGAGAAATGAACAAAAACAAGGCTTCAGACCACAGTCGTGGGAAATTGCCAGGGGTGATAGTCAGCAATGGGGCCTGACCATAGCCGCTGAAGACCGTGCACGGGGTACCTCCAGTTCCAAGAACACCAGAGGGAGGGGGGATGATTGACAGTCATTCCCACAGGTCCAGGAACTGTTTACACTTACTGGTGAAGAGAAAACTCACCAGTAGCCAGTGTTATGTGAAGTGATCCCGTGGACAGGCAGATGGAAAGTGGGCAGTTGCAGATGAAACAATCTTGGTTCAGGATCCTGGCACAGGGCACCAGGAGGCCTGAGGTACAATGGAACCCACTAAAAGAGTTTTTATTAGGGAAGGGAAAGGGTGGAGGTGTGTAGGTCTACTGAAAAGAAAGGTGTGGGAGACAATGTGTGTGTGTGAGAGAGAGGGGGGGAGGGAGGGAGGGAGAGAGAGAGAGAGAGAGAGAGAGAGAGAGAGAGAGAGAGAGAGAGAGAGAGATGCATGCTACCTCTGACAAGAGGGAGAGAGAGTGGGGAGCAGGCAGAGCCTGCTTTTATAGGTCACCTCACACATGCGTGTATGGGCTTACATAGCTACACCACACATGTGCATAGATTATGTGATCACACTGCATATAAATTACATAAGATGTAAGGCTCTGGAGTGACTAAGCATATTGCCTGACTGCTGACAGTGTATGCATGGTCATGTGACTCCAGAAGTGGCTAGGAATAATAACAGACCCTACATCCCAAGGGTTACATAACTCCCCCAAAGTATTATCACCAGCTGGCAACCGAGGGTTTCGGCACACGAGCCTGTGGGGGACATTCTCCATCCTAATCTCTTGTCTACTGGGGATAACGCCTCAAGGAAAAGGAGTGTGCCGGAAGTTCCTCAATGTTCTTCATCCAGAAGTGAGATTGCTAAGTCATATGGCAGTTCTATGTTTAAGCTTTGTGAGAAAACTCCATACTCTCTTCCATATTCTTACACATTTTACAATACTAATCAATGGTCCATTTTCTCTAAGACCTTGCCAACACATTGTCTTCTGTTTGTTTGGTTGGTTTTGGTAGTGGCTAACCTAATGGATGTAAGGTGATTATCTCCAATAATACAAACCCTTTTGATAGTTTTCACCTCCAAAGAATAATCTCAATGATTAAACATGAGCAGTAGGATAATATCCCACACTCCCCAAAATATACCCTCCTTCTAATCATCAGAAACTTAGGATTTATTACTTTCTTTACTTACTATAAAAACTTCATGAAATTATTGGGTTTTCTGTCTGTCTGTTTGTTTGTTTGTTTCTATAATGCTTGGAGTCAAATTTATGGCCCATGTATACAAGGAAAGTCTATCAATGACTGGTATTCTCAGCCCAAGTGTATATTACATGGGTATGTTAACCATATTAGGATAATTACATTATTAAGGTTGCAGATGGTATTAAGCTTGGTGGCAGGTTTCTTTCTCATTGTTCTAGGTTGGATCTCATTATGGCATCTTGATACCTATCCTGACAGGTTTTATGTCAACTTGACACAAGCTAGAGTCATCAGAGGGGAGGGAGCTTCATTTGAGAAAATGCCTCCATAAAGCTGTAGGCAATCTTAAGGATTGATGTGAGAGGGCCCAGCCCATTGTGGATAGTACAATCCCTGGGCTGGTGGTCCTGGGTTTTGTAAGAAAGCAGGCTGAGCAAGCTATGAGAAGCAAGCCAGTAAGCAGCACCCCTCCATGGCCTCTGCATCAGCTCCTGCCTCCAGGTTCCCTCCAAGTTTGAGTCCCTGCTCTGACTTCCCTCAGTGATGGAGTGATACCTGGAAGTGTAAGCTGAAATAAACCCTTTCCTCCCCAAGTTGATTTGGTCATGGTGTCCCATCACAGCAATAGAAACCCTAACTAAGACAACACCTGCCCCTCGGACGGATTTCCTTTCTTCTCCCAAGTGGTTCTTGCTTCTGCTCTTTTATGACATGCTCTATGGTTCCGGTGTCTCCAGATTGCCTGTGAGTCCTTTAGGGTTGGAAGAAGGGGAGATGGAAGGGCGGGAAGACATCTGTATCAAAGGCAGGTGTCTGTGCGTTAGGTAGGAAAATTGCTGGTGACTCAGTCTCTAACAGCAATTTGTGGCACTTCTTTCAGAGTTTGCCTCTCTGGATCATTGTCTCAGGGGATGCTTCTTACTCAGTCTCCACGCCCTCCTTCCACAGTACTCTCTATAGTGCTCCACCCTCTCCTTCCACAGTGCTCTCTATAGTCCTCACCCTCTCCTTCCACAGTACTCTGTATAGTCCTCACCCTCTCCTTCCACAGTGCTCTCTATAGTCCTCACCCTCTCCTTCCACAGTGCTCTCTATAGTCCTCACCCTCTCCTTCCATAGTGCTCTCTATAGTCCTCACCCTCTCCTTCACAGTGCTCTCTATAGTCCTCACCCTCTCCTTCCACAGTGCTCTCTATAGTGCTCCACCCTCTCCTTCCACAGTGCTCTCTATAGTCCTCACCCTCTCCTTCCACAGTACTCTGTATAGTCCTCACCCTCTCCTTCCACAGTGCTCTCTATAGTCCTCACCCTCTCCTTCCACAGTGCTCTCTATAGTCCTCACCCTCTCCTTCACAGTGCTCTCTATAGTCCTCACCCTCTCCTTCCACAGTGCTCTCTATAGTCCTCACCCTCTCCTTCCACAGTGCTCTCTATAGTCCTCACCCTCTCCTTCCACAGTGCTCTCTAGTGCTCCACCCTCTCCTTCCACAGTGCTCTGTATAGTCCTCACCCTCTCCTTCCACAGTGCTCTCTATAGTCCTCACCCTCTCCTTCCACAGTACTCTGTATAGTCCTCACCCTCTCCATCCATAGTTCTCTCTGTTGTCTCCTCACCCTCTTTTTATCTGAGAGCCCCTCACTTTGAGGCATAATGCCTTTGGGGATAGTCTTTTCCAATATCCTCAAGGCTAGGACAATCACATAGTCCTCTTATCCCTTAAGAATACTCTGGTGGTGCTGGAATGATAGCTCAGTGATAGCTCAGAGCAATGGCTATTCTTCCAGAGGGCCTAGGTTCAATTCCCAACACCTACAGCACAGCTTACAACTATCTGTAACTCCAGTCCTGTGGGCTCCAATGCCCTCTTCTGATCTCTGAGTTCACTGAACTCACATGATGCACAGTCATACATGTGGGCAAAACCCACACACAAAACAATAAATATGAAATAATTTTTCAAAAGAATATTCTGGTTTCTTCTCCTCAAGCCCCACCAATAGAAGATATGCCATTTTCTTTCCATCAGTATAAATATATATCATTGCTTGGCCACCAGGCAGGCATTCTAGCCATAGCCTTTGACCTTCTCAGAGGAAAAGAATTATTCAAGTTTGTAAGTGTGGTTTGAACTTCTGAAACTTCTGAAGGGCTTAATTCATTCACTATTTTCTTATGATGAAAAAGTGTCAACTTTTTTTATATTTTTGCTTTGAGAGATTTTCTAAGTTTGACCTGACATTAGCCAGTGTGTGCTAAGTTAAACAAAGTTCAGAAATATCCCATGCAGCAGTGGCATGGCTGCAGTTGAGGTAAATGAAACATGCATGCAAGGTTTAAAATGTTGAGATCATTCATATTTTTCCCTTAAGTGACTTAATTTCCTAGGGCTAATTACAAAGTCCATCTTCTCTGAATATTTGTCCCAACCTCCTACCCTTTCTGACTGTTTCATTAACACCGTGTCAATGTGGGAGGGCACATTTTATGAGAACTCTCATCTAATTGCAAGTGACTTTAACCACCACTTCCTCCCTTCTCGTTCCTTTGCATCTTACCCAAGCTTGAATTTGGGGTACAAAGCAACTAGCTCTGTGGACCAGGCTGGTCTTGATCTCAGAGATGGCCTGCTTCTGCCTCCTGAGTGCTGGGATTAAAGGCATGCACCACTGTGCCTGGCTCAGAATTTCACATCCTAAAATTGATCCTGGCCCTTGTCACAACCTGTTACTTGTTGTGGGATGTTCTGTATGGCAAATGTGTTGCTAATTAGTCAATAAATAAAACACTGATTGGCCATTGGCTAGGCAGGAAGTGTAGGCGGGACAAGGAGGAGAAAAAACTGGGAAGTGGAAGGCTGAGTCAGAGAGACACTGCCAGCTGCCACGATGAGAAACAGCATGTGAAGACGCCGGTAAGCCACGAGCCACGTGGCAAGGTATAGATTAATGGAAATGAATTAATTTAAGCTGTAAGAACAGTTAGCAAGAAGCCTGCCATGGCCATACAGTTTGTAACCAATATAAGTCTCTGTATTTACTTGGTTGGGTTTGAGCGGCTGTGGGACTGGCAGGTGATAGAGATTTGTCCTGACTGTGGGCCAGGCAGGAAAACTCAAGCTACAGTTACTCATTATAATCACCAAGGTAACAACATCTTTCTGATGCAAACCCATGTTATCAAGACTTAAATCATCTAAACAATTGAGGCATGGTGGCATATATCTTTAATCCCAGCACTGGGGAAGCAAATGCAGTTGGGTATTTATGAACTCAAGGCCATCCTGATTTACACAGCAAGTTCTAGACCAGCCAAGGCTACATAGTGATACTTCATCTCAAAAGGAAACCAAAAATAAAATGAAATGAAATAGGAAAAAAAATACCTTATGAATGAGAAATTACCAGTAGTCTGCTCTCTATAGATCATCTCTTGAGGAAACCACACACAAATATCATGAGTGATTGACTTAGAGAAGAGAATCAATAAGCTGGGCAAATGGGGATGTCTTAGGGTTTCTATTGTTGCAACGAAACACCATGACCAAAAAGCAAATTGGGGAGGAAAGGGTTTATTTGGCTTATACTTCCAGAACATAGTCCATCACTAGAGAAAATCAGAACAGAAATTCAAGCAGGGCTGGATGCTAGAGGCTGGAGCTGATGCCGAAGCCATGGAAGGGAGCTGCTTAATGGCTTGCTTACAGTTCAGAGATTTAGTCTGTTATCGTTATGGTAGGAAACAAGGCAGCATGCAGGAAAACATGGTGCTAGAGAAGGAGCTGAGAGTTCTTGCATCTTGACTCACGGGCAATAGGAAGTGGTCTGAGACACTGAGCATGGCTTGAGCATATATGAGACTCCAAACCCTGCCTCCACAGTGACACACTTCCTTCAACAAGGCCACACCCCTAATAGTGCCACTCCCTTTGTGCCATTTTCTTTCAAGGCACAAGAGGGGAGGAGATGTATTTCCACCCATATCATTGTCAACTTTTTAAATTTTATACCATATATTCCTAATTTGAAAAATATTAAATTTGCATTTGAAGTACAAAACTACCAACTAATGTTACAAGCAAAAGTCATTAGATATAAGAGGTACAATTGAGTTAAGTGGGGTCAACATTTGTTCTTTGACTTTCTGGATAAAAAAAGAGAGAGACTTTTAAAAAATATTTGTTTTTTTTTTAAATTATTTTTGAGATTATAATATAATTGCATCATTTCCCCCTTCCCTTTCCTCCCTCTAACCTCTCCCATATACCCGTCTTTGCTCCTTTTCAAGTTCACATAAAATGTTAATTATCTATGTCTATTTTCAGGTTGATCGTTTGGATTTAGATAACCATTTGGTGTACTCTTCCTGCTCTCAGCATCCTTAGTTGCCTGTAATTCTTTGTGTGGGGTTGAAGCCTCCTGGCTTTGCCTGTGCATGTTAGCATGCCAAATGTCCTTCCTTGCTCAGCTCACATTTTGGCAGTCATGTTGGTAAAATGGGACTTCTGACATTCCCGGGAGATACAAGCACACAGCAAACTCCCTGTTCCTCTGGCTCTTACAATCTTTCTCCCCCTGCCCTGTATTATTATTTTTAATGTTTTTAATTTAAATAGAATCACATCACTTCCCCTGCCTTCCTTCCTCCAGCCCTCACAGCTACCCTCCCTTAAACCCACCCACGTCCCCCATTTCAAGTTGATAAATGCATTTTTTTTATTATTGTTGTTACATACTATGGTGGTTTGAACAGGAATGGCCCCCATAGACTCACGTGTTTGAATGCTTGGTCATTAGAGACTGGCACTACTTGACAGGGATTAGGACTTGTGGCCTTGTTGAAGTAGGTATGGCCTTGTTAGAGGAAATGTGTCACTGGGGATGGGCTTTGGGGTTTCAAATGCTCAAGCCAGGCCCAGTATCTTTTTCTCTTCCTGCTGCCTGAGGATCCAGATGTAGAACTCTCAGCTCCTTCTCCAACACCTTGTCTGCCTGCCGGCTGCCATGCTCCCTGCCATGCTGATAATGGACTAAATGGACTAAACCTCTGAATTGTAAGACAGCCCCATTTAAATGCTTTTCTTTTTAAGACTTGCCATGATCATAGTGTCTCTTCACAGCAATAGAATACTGACTAATACACATACATACATACGTACATATATATGTATGCACAAATATATAGAGATACAGCTTTGTGAGTCTGTTTTTGTTGTTTTGTCTACATGATTTCAAGGCTGACCTATTTTTATTATTTTTAATTATGGTTATATGTGTGCGTCTGTGAGACGTTATGTGCACCTGTGAGTGAGGTGCCTATGGAGTCCAGAAGAGGGTGTCAGGTCCTCTGGAACTGGTTACAGGAGTTTATGAGTTGCTTAATGTGAGTGCTGGGAACTGAATCCATGGTTCTTCTGCAAGATCATTATGTACTCTTAACTGCTGAGCCATTTCTCCAGCCCTAAAAGATTCTTTCTTCTCAAAGTGCTTAATATGTCAATGAAAAGAGCCTGGCTTTTGTGGTGTAAGGGTTTGTAGAAAGACACCCACTTTGGAGGCAGAAGCAGGCAGATCTCTGAGTTTGAGGCCAGCCTGGTCTACAGAGCAAGTTTCAGGACAGCCAGGGCTATACAGAGAAATCCTGTCTCAAAAAACAAAAAGGAAAAAAAAAAGTTTGTAGAAAGGCATATCTTCCTGGTGAGTGGTTCTGTTTCATCATCTGAGTGCCTGAAGTCTACCAGACACTATGCTAGGTACTAAGGGGAAAAAGAAATAAGATCTAGAGGCTGCCCTGGAAAAAATGGTAAAGCTTTTGTTTCTTAGCACTGGGACTGGGAAAAGGGGCAAACTTAGTCTAAACACCTAGAGAGGAGATGAGCCACTGAGGACTGGGGTGTAGTTCAGTGGTAGAGTATCTGCCTGGTGTGTCCAAGTACTCCATCTCTCAAACTGAGAGGAGAAGGTGGAGGAGGGGAGAGGAGAACCTGAAACCAAGGAAGAGTGTAGACAGAAGCCCTAGAATCTGAAAATAAGAATGGCCTCGGGACTGTAGAGCATAGTCAACATGATGGATAGGAAAGAGGGTCTTCTCCATAGAAGGTGTCCAGACCCAAACCAAAGTAGAGAGTCAAGGCCTGACTGTCTCAAGCAATTGGTTCAGGCTTTCAAAAATGAAAATGTTGGGCTGTCAAGATGGCTCAGCAGGTAAACCATTTGTCTCAAAAGCCTGATTACCACAAAGAGGAACCTACATAGTAGTGGAAGAAAGAACTAACTTTTAACAATTGTCCTCTGACCTACACACACACACACACACACACACACACACACACACACACACACACACACACACATAGTTCTTCTCAATTTTTTAAGAGAAGTGATTACCTGTGCCAAAATACATATGCAGAAAATGTTATGAGAATTGCAAGATTTAGAACCTTCTAGGCTTACATAAGTCTTTTCTCAACCTCCATTTTTCTCATTTGTAAATCAAGAATTATTATGTCTACATTACAAAATTGTTGTGTGCTACAGGCCACAGGAATATGAAATAGAGATTCAGCTGTATATGATAAAGCTATACCTAGAAGGATCAAGGAATCCTTCTGGGGGAGAAGCCAAATATCAAGGAATATTTGGTGTTATTTGGCTTTTAATATATCATCTGTCTTCTGCTATCAATTTCATGTGTGTTCATAACTTCCCCAAGAACTTTTTGTTTTGTTTTGTTTTGTTTCTCTGTCTAGCTTTGGAGCCTATCCTGGAACTCACTCTGTAGACCAGGCTGGCCTCGAACTCACAGAGATCCACCTGCCTCTGCCTCCCGAGTGCTGGGATTAAAGGCGTGCGCCACCACCGCCAGGCCCCAAGAACTTTTAAGGGGTATTTTACCTGAAATTCTTCTCAAGCATCCTAGGCCAAAATGGCAAACAGACCAACTGCTGTCTCCTGAATTAAGGTAAACACCCTTACAGAGACACTGCCTGTCTCCTAGACATAGCTTTGTTTCTTGTGCAAATGAAGCTCAGACCCTCCTTTCTTTCACAGCCCAAGAGGCATTCCAGAGCAATTGACTCTGAACAAAAGGGTTTTTTGCATACCAGGTGCAATGTAGCTATGCAGCAGGTTTCCTAGCTCTGAGCAGAGTCACCTGCCCTGCCAGTATATGGCAGCATAGGAAAATGGAGGCAGTTTTACTTTAGTGACTTATAGACTCCTTTACCTAACCACCTATAAGATTGTAGTTTGAGCACATTTATGATAGGCTGGTAACATTTCACCTAACCACTTATAAGACTATATTTTGAGCACATAAATTCCCTTTCTGAATTATTATAGGCCTTATCTAACCCTACCTCCTCTATTCACTCCCCTTTTGGGTTGCAAATGAAGCTGGCTATCACCGCTCTTGTAAGGACCTTGGAAGCTTTGCACTGAATTAGAAGAGTCAGGCTGCTGGTAAGGGAGAGACCAGTCCCAAGAGAGGAACAGGAAGGAACCACAATGGAGAAGAACGAGGATGAAGATGAGGACAGAGATGGAAAAGAGTTAGAGTTGTGAGAGGACAGGAAGAGAAGGGACAGAGAGGAGCTAAGTATAAGAACAGAAAAGAAGCTGTGTAGAGAGAAAACTAACTCAGAAAAATAAAGCATATGAACTAAAGAGTTTCGTGTACATAGATTAGTTTAATATCATCAAAGATTAGATTATCAGCTGGTCGTAGATTCTTCCTGGACCCATAAGAGGGCTATTGAGGGGCTGGACCCTCCATAGACCCAGTTAGTTGTGAGGATTTGACATAGTGTAAAATGGCTTGTATAGTGTGAGGAACATAATGCCCAATAGAGTCTTTTGTTTCTGTTATTAGTATAATCTGTAAATAAAACTAAGTTTAGTAATAGAGGATCCCTAGGTTGGCTCATTCAGTCCTCACTCACTCTCCCTTGTGAGGTAACTTCCCATACTGCCAAATCAGTAAAACTAAGAACTACGTTTCCCAGACTCCTTTGCTTTTGGGTCTCAGTGACCAGTTAGGTTCCATCAATTACAGGAGAGTATGTGTCATATAGAATATAGGTGGAGGTAAAAACATCTTGTTGCTCTTTCTCCTGGCAGACAAAGTTAAGATGTGAGTGCCCAGAGCATACAGCTACTTGGCCTAGTGGGGTCCCTGACTTCTGTTTCCTCCAGCCTCTCCAGTGACTTCATTATCATGTGACTTCTGTATTTGGCCCTTTCATCTATCACACTCCGGCACAGCAAAGCAGGCGTCAGAAGTGCTCTTCTGGGTTTAGAGTTAAAGGCACTAGCTGACCTCACCGAGGTGCAGCAGAGAAGTCTCAGTACTTTCAAAATCAAATCAAAGCAACAGTTTTGGGTTGAACACAAGGCGAGTTCTCAGCCCTAGCTGACACACCTACCAAGTCTGGAGTTCCTCTGAAGAACTAAAGTTCTGTTTAGGCCAGCCCCCTGCTGCCTCCTCTGACAGCGCAGCCAAGGGTACAATCTTCTCTGCAGGTCTCTGCTGCATAGTCCATAGACCAAAGGGTTGAAACACTGTGCGAAGACGAAGACACCAAAAAGCACCAGATTTAAAGCAAAGAAAAATGCTCCACACCGCTTTCCCAGACCTACAAACATTAGGGAGGGTATCACGTGTAAGCTGATCTGCAGTAGATGAACGAGGACAGTTCTCCTGGCCTTGATGTTTGATCTGTTAAAATGGCCAGCCCGCTTCCCTTCTCGGTATATCAGATAGTAACTCACAAGAATGACAGATAAAGGAAGGGCAAGGAAAAACATGCCGATGACTCTGGCAGGTGTACCATTCAGGATCACAGGACAGAGTGGGGCAGACTGGAAAACAGAGGCTGGGGTAGGGTTAGTGCCCTCTATGAGGAATAAGCCAACATTCTTGAGTATAACAGTGGTCCAGGACCCAGCCAGAATCCTGTACTTGGCAGAATCTACAAAGGACGGAGAGTTCAGGGGATAACAAATGGCAAGGTAAGTGTTGAGAGCCATCAAGGCCAGAGTAAGGAGGATCCCTTCTCCCACACTTAGCTGAGCCCCAAATACCAGCCAGCACAGCAGCAGGGAGCTGTTGGCCAGCAAGGCTCGCATTCCTTGGAAGACAACCCCCAGGCCACAGTAGGAAGAGATACATAGCAGGTGGTGGCAAAGGAGGACAAGTCGGACCTCTTTCCTCAGCTGCAGATTCTGTGACACTATCACAATAATGACAATGGTGATGGATGTGGCGATGGAGAAAGCCACCACGTACACAGAGGCCTTCACGGTTGCCTCTAGTCTCAGCCAGTCAGATATGTTGCAGTGCTCAGAGGACAAGTTCATGGTCTTGGGTGCTGGTTTGGCTCCTGGAAGAGAGAAAGACAGAAATGGGTGACTCTGCCTGAAGCTCCTTGTGTGCTTTCCAGCTCCAATCTGTGTTCGGGTGCAAGGACTAGACAGTACTTTCTCCAAGGGGATGATGATTTCAGATAGTATTGATGGAGCTCGAGGAAGCCAGAGAAATCATGTAGGTCTTCCTTTACTTTGGGAAGAGGCATCTGTGTAAGTCAAGGAAAGAAAGCTGGGAAATGTATCCTGAGTATTCAAATGTCAAAAGCAAAGCTAATGCCTATGTGTCCTTCAACATCAGGACCAAAAGCAGAATGACTTTCTGCTAAGCATGTGTTAAGATAGTGCATGCAAAGGTCTAAGGAGTTAAGGTCAGAGCTGTGAGGAAGGTGAACAAGTCATTAGCTCAGAGCCCTCCCTCCTTTAGCTCCCTAAGACATGAGGAGGAGACTAACAGTGATGGACTACAGTCACGGGTGGCCCTGAGTACTTTCTAGGAAGCCAACTAGTCTCATAGCATTCTCCTCAGTTTCCCTGCATGTGTTTCATGTCTCACAAAGTGGTTTTATTATGCACTTTTTACAAATGAGAAAACGAAAGCTAAAGGCGGGACTGGAGAGATGGCTCAGTAGTTAAGAGCACTGGCTGCTTTCCCAGAGGACCCGGGTTTAATTCCCAGCACCCACATGGCAGCTCACAACTGTCTCTAACTCCAGTTCCAGGGGATCTGACACCTTCATACAAACGCACATAAAATAAAGTTAAATAAATTATTAAAGAAAGGAAGGAAGGAAGGAAGGAAGGAAGGAAGGAAGGAAGGAAGGAAGGAAGGAAGCTAAAGGCTTGAGAGTCCCCCAGAAGCCCATGTGCTGAAACTTTAGTCCCCAGGATGGCCCTATTGGGAGATGACAGAACCTGTGAGATAGAGGCCTGGGGCTGGGGATGCAACGCGGTAAACAGAGTGCTTATCCTCCATGCACAAAGTCATGGGTTTGATCCCACCACTGACTAAAGCATGTGTGGTAGGTATACATCCCTGCAATCCCACCCTAGACAGGAAAATTCAAAGTTTAAGATCATCCTTGCCTACATAGGAAGTCTGAGGCAAAACTGGAATTTATGAAACCCTGGAGGGAAGAATGAAGGAAGAGACAAAGGGGGTGTAGGGTCTAGAGCAGAGGTTCTCATCCTGTGGATCACAACCCCTTTGGGGGATCAAACGACCCTTTCACAAAGGTCGCCAAAGACCATCAGAAAACATAGATTTTACATTATGATTCATAACAGTAGCAAAATTACAGTTATGAAGTAGAAATGAAATCATTTTAGGGTTGGCCGCGACATAAGGACCTGTGTTAAAGGGTCAAAGCATTAGGAAGGTTGAGAACCACTCACTCACATCTTTAAGGACCAACTCTGAGCCTGGGCCCACAGCATCAGTCTCTCCTCTACCCCAGAACCTCTCGTGTGATTTCACTGTCCCCAGTCCATTCCTTGCTAATCTGAACAGAACTCCGTCTGTCTAGCACAGGGCCTGCTCTGTCTGACGAAGCTCTCTCTCTCTTATACCCTGCAACCAGCGTCTGGGTCTCAGACACAAGGAGGCTACTGTTGGCCAAATAGACAGTGGTCAAGACCTTCCTGTTAGCTAGAGCCTCCCAACAATACATGTACACACACACACACACACACACACACACACACACACACACACACATGTGCACACACACACACACGTGCACACACACACACGTGCTCACACGGGCATGCACACATACATACATACATACATACATACATACATACCTGAGCTCACCATGGCCAGGGGTACCCATTGATAAGCTACATTCTCTGGCATTTGATCCTGTTTGCCACCCTTCATTTTACCCAGAATCTCAGCCATCCCTGCTGGTTTCCTCTATGTCACTCAGCAGTAACTGCTCAAGGTATCTCATGTTGGGTACAAAGCTGCTCCGTTCCATTTATGCCATGCAGTCAGCCATGATCGGGGCATTAGCCAACTGTGTTCCAGGACTCCAAGCCCTGTCACTGTGCACTCTGTAGAATGAAAATCCTAGAAACTGCCCCCACCCCCCCTCAAATGGATGCAGTTGCAGCTGCCATCAAGGCTGAGGTGCCCATCCCCCCCCCCCCACCCCTAATCCAAAATAGCTTCTGGGAACTACTGTTGGTGAGACCAACTGGGGACCAATGGTTTCTTCACTTGTCTGATGTGTTTAGCACATGAATCAACATGACACACTGTTTTGTCACTGTTCTCAATCAGCCTTTACTGAGCACTGACACAGACAATACCTAATCCTGAACAGTGTGGGGACAGATGGTAAAACAATCACTGGCCAACAAAAACGTATTGTTCAGTGGATGATGTGGATTCTAGTTTAATCAAATAATGAGGCACCAAAGATCTCGTGTATAGTTTTACTTATTTACTAAATCAGTAAGAAAGCCAGGGGCAGTGTGGGAAGTTGTGCAGAAATCAAAGCAACTGCCCTGGTTAGCTGTAGTCAGAGAAGTCTTCCTGAGGAATGGAGACTTAAATCGACCCTTTCAAGGGTTGTATCCAGAGTGAAACAGGGCGGGAGCTCCAGCAGGACAGGAAGAGCAATGCAGATTCCAAGCAAATCAAAACAGCCCGTGCTGAGGGAGAGGCACACCTCAGTTTCAGAGGATAATGACTGAGCCGACATCCCAGGGCTAAAGCCATTTTGTAAGCAAGAAGGAGACAGGCATGAGTAAAATTAAGAGCAGTACATGTCTGCAGTGGAGCCAGATGAGATGCCTCCATTCACCTGCAGACCGGCAACCCGGCCAAGGGGTGGGTGGGGCTCTGTGGACACCACCACCAGAGTAAGTGGCTTAGAACACTTTGTGTGACTAGAGTTAGAAATCTTCGGAATAAAGGAAGGAAGGTTTTATCGCTCTTATTATGAGACCCCAGGAAGATTAGCAATTTCTTTAGGATCACAGAACCAGAGACTCTCCCTGTCTCAATTTGCACTTCTTCTCAGAGGTACATTTGCATATCAAGAGCCCTAGCAATGAGGCTCAAATAATCTGCTTCATCTACTAACCTATTCAGGGGCAGTTCTTAGGGCCTTGTCCTTTTTCTGAAATTTTAAAATAAGGAACACCTGTTTCCTTTCAGCACAAAGAAATAAGACTTTGGAGCCAAAAGACTTCAGTGAATTCTTACATCTACAAATTCCCTGACAGAATCAGGACCAGCCACTCTTCTGTAAAAGTCCATGTTCCACCACTCCCACCCCCACCCTCACCCCTCCCCCTGTCAGACATATGGCCGGAGATGTCTGTCGGGACTATATAAAATACTGAAAGACTGAGTGTGTAGCTCAGACGGTACAGTGCTTGTGGAGTAGGCACAAAGTCCCGGGCTCTGTCCCCTATGTTATATAAAACCAAGTGCGGCAACACATGCTTGTAACCCCAGCACCTGGGAGATGGAGGCAGGAAGATCTTATGTTTGTCCTCAGCTGTACAGCAGTTGGAAGGTAACCTAAGTTCACAAAATTCTGTCTCAAAAACAAAATGGGGGGTTGCCAAGGAAACTGGAGCAGATAACACAGGCCCTTCCACAGAGGGTAACCACTGCCTTGGTCTCCTCATGGGCTCTGGGCATGGAGCTGAGAGCATTTCCCACTCCTCTGACCTCTGAGCAGACAGCTAGTCCCTAGCAGACACCAGACTTCAGATAAAATCCAGGTTAAAGACTATGCAGATGACACCCCAGTGACTGCTTGCTGTGAGGCAGCTTCAGGAAGTGCTGGGATCCCCAACCACACAATAACCTATGACGTCAACACTGCCATTTCTCGAATTTTTTTCAGAAAAGAAAAGGAAGGGAGAGAAGGAGGGAGGAAGGAATGCAGGCTGAGGATAATCAAGTCCTGACAGTGACTCTGGAATTTACAGGTGGCAGTCCAACTCTAGGGCCCACTCTCTGTACTCTAAGCCTAAGCCACTGGTGACTGACATTTAACAGATGCGAAGGGCAATCCTCACATCCTATCACTTGGTCTTCCCAAAAGATGGGAGAGACTGAGACCAGTGGAATTCCCATCCCTCTGTCAGGAGAGAGGGGACAATGATGTAAAGAGATTCGTTGTCTGATGGGCACCTCCTATGCCTGGCCCAATCTGACTGAAGTCTGTGATTCTTTCTAGAAGAGGTAACTAGGACATGAAAACTGACTCCAGAAGTGCCCCCACTGAGAGAAATAACCACATGAAGAGATAAGAAGAAGGTAGTCATCTGCAAGACAAGGAGAGCAGACTAAAAGGACATGTGGGTGCTGGTGTTAGCACCAGTTTGTACAGAAGTTCAAGTACACTAAAGCAGTTTCCATCTATTTCTAGAGTGGCTTGCCATTGTCCGCTAGCCTTCCCAGAACCCAGATAGCCAAGAGGGCTCAGTGGGTGAGGGAGCTTGCCATTAGAGCCAGGAAGACCTGTGTTCAATTCCCATGACCTACATGGTGAAAGGAGAGAATTGACTCTTCAAAGTTGTCCTTTGACCTCCACAAGTGTACTATGGCACATCCATGTACACCTACACACAGTAAATAAATAAATGTATACCTCCTGGAACCCACACATGGGACTCCTGAAGGGGGAAAGACTGAACTCTGAGGAGGGGGGGGGATCTCTTTTTGTTGAGTATTTAAGATCAGTTGGGCAGTGGCTGCCACCAAGGTCAGGACCAGTATCCGACTCATCACCAGTAAGGGAGAACCCATGTGCAGAGGAAGTAGGGTAGAAGTGATTTTCCTTGCTCAAATCTATTGGCAGAAGGCCAATGAAGAGAATGGGTCCTTCTAGAATGGTTCCTAGAGTCTTCTCTTCTTCCATAGCCAGCATGCCCTCCTCCTTTTAAGTTATATCTCTCCTGTTCTACAGACTTTCTTCATTGGTCTTTGTCTTGCTTTGTCTCTTTCGTTCGTTCCTTCCTGTCTGTCTATCTATCTATTTATCTATCTATCTATCTATCTATCTATCTATCTATCTATCTATCTATCTATCTATCTATCTTTCTATCTATTGAGATAGGGTTTGCTGTACAGCCCAGGCTAGCCTTGACCTTGCATCATGATCCTCCTACCACTGCTCCGGAGAGCTGGGGATCCAGACATGTACTACCACACAGGGCTTCTTTGGTATTTTGAAAATAATTCTAGGGATAATCACAGCACTCAGAAAGCTGAGGCAGGAGGAATGAGGAGAGTTCAAGGTCAGCCTAACCCATACAGTGAAACCAGGTTTCTAAAGAAAGAAGAAAAAAAATCACCCACTGTGAAGCTTCTGCCTTCTCATTGGGTGCAAGAGGAGAGGGCAGGAGCCAGTGTTTTCTAAGCTCACAGAGGTGACATGAGGTCAGAGTGAAGTCACAGGCCTCCTTAGGAATATGTGCTGACCTCAAAGGACAGAAAAATGACATTTCCTGGCAAACGGCTCCCCAGACACCCGCCTTTTCTCACAAACACCACCTTCTTTCTCCTCCATTTTTTCTGATCAGAATTTGGATCTGTGATCAGTCTCTGAGCTGCTCACCAGGCACGTTATTCTAGAGGCTCACTGCTTTAATGGGCTGTCATCCTTTCCTACAATACTTACATCTAAAACACACCTTACACCTTAGGGATCTGGGGAGATGGCTCAGTCAGGAACCCAAGTAAAACTGCCAGGCGTGGTGGTGACTCTTGTAATCTCACCCCTGGGGAAACTTTGCCTTTATGACAATGGTGCCTATGGTAAATTTGAAAATGAGACACAAGCCAGACATGATAGTACACACCTAGAACCCCAGCCGTCAGGGTCAAGGGATGGGAGAGTGGGCAGAGGCAGATCTCTGTGAATTCTAGGCTAGCTTGATTTTCATTGTGAGTTCCAGGCCAGCCAGGGCTACGTATGCCCTGTCTCAAAATAAATAAAAATCAAATAAACAAATAAGACACATATTTCCGCAACTATACAGTCTTCCAGGGAAGGAGGGGGAGCTGGGGGGTGAATAAGGGGAAATGTCACTGTAGTGATTGCCTCAACTCAAGTGTTCGATACTTTAGAGGAGAGACCTAATCTTCCTAAGAGGGTCAGAAAAGGTTATTCCTGTAGAAGGGCTGGCATGTAGCTTAGTCAGTAAAGTGCTTGCCTATCATGTGCTAGGCATCATGGGTTCAATCCCCAACAACACATCAAACCATACAGGATAGCCATGTCTGTAATCCCAGGATTCTGGAGGTAGAGGCAGGCGGATTGGAAGTTTAAGGTCAGCCTTAGCTACACAGTATGTTCAAGGCCAACCTGGGCTTCATGAGACCCTGTCTGAAATAAATGAAACAAAACAGCAAAAAAGAGATGGTAAGCTGGCTCAGAAGATAAAGGTGTTTGCTACCAAGCCTGATAGCCAGACTCACGTGATAGAAAGAGGAAACTCACACACACACACACACACACACACACACACACACACACACACACACCAGATAGATAAGATAAATATAAGAATTAGTTTTTAAAAATTTTTAAAGAATTCCCGTAAGTCATGACCCTTGAAAAATGCAAAGGTTCATCTATCCAGCTTGCTGGCCTGCTTATCACGTTTATGAGTACTTTTGACGGTTTGGTTTGGTTTGGATTGGTTTGGTTTGGTTTTTCAAGACAGGGTTTCTCTGTGTGGCTCCGGCTATCCTGGAACTCATTCTGTAGACCAGGCTGACCTCGATCTCCAACTCAGAGACCTGCCTGCTTCTACCTCCCAAGTGCTGGTACTAGAGGCATGAGTCACCACTACCTGCACTTCTGGCTATTTTAGATGCTAGGAATACAACACCCAACAAGCCAGACAAGGTCTCCAACTGGTTGCATTTCTACTCTGGATATGATACATTAACAGGAAACATGAACATGGTCCTTTGACCGTCTACCTCATCTCCTCTGCATGGATTCTCCTACTGACACCAGAGCGCCTTGGTTGTTCACCTTGGAGTATTTCAATCCTTTTGATAAATATAGCTCTCAAAATGACATAAAATACAAGTTCATTTCAGTAAGATGACTCCAGAAGGGTCTGGTCAACTCTGTAGAGCTGAGACTCAGCTTCAAGTAGAAATCAAAATAAGACTTTCGGTGCCTGGCCAGACATAAGAGCCCTTCACCTTACCTCACCACCAGATCCTTTCTGCCAGTCCAACCAGTAGTGAGTTGCGTTTTCCAGGAAGATATCTTGGAAACAGCAGCAAGTCCTAGGAAGAACTTACAACAGCCGGTGCCTAACAGTTGGAACCAAGTTCCCTGAGCCATCAGATCTGAGGGCCACTGCCACAGTGTCTTCAGCCAGTGTCACAATGTGAGTCAAGACATCCGAGAAAGCCAGGGACAGATCTACTCTGGCCACTTCCTCAAAGAAAGCTCAGCACCCTCTGTCTGAGGAAGTGGAGGAACTCAAGCTGCCGTCTTTTCTGCACAGAGGCGTCCCTCTGACTACACACGTGGCCTCTGTGCCCTTTCCAGGCTCTGGACCCACTGTGTGGTATCTAGAGATGACTAAAAATGTGTGTGTGTCTGGAGAAAGCTGAAATGACTTCTCCACACTATTACAGGGGAAATTCAAGCCACTGGACCTGGAGATTTTAAAGCCCAGTTATTACAACAGCCACAATGTTGTAACAAGGGCAAGAGAAAGACAGTTCAGAGCTTCTGTAAGGCTCGGCCAGTACTTCCTGATTGCCGACACCTCTGCTTTAAACCCACAAGCATTAGTTATCAGCTCTTCCTCACAGACAAAGCCTTTCTCTTAGAAGTTGTTCAAGTAATATGCTTGTTGTTCAAAAATGTAAAATACAGATGACAAGCATTTTTTAAAGATAAGGATTTCTCCTTATATCCCCATTTGAAGATGAGCACTGAGGACATGTGACATATATCCTGTGCTCACTCACATGTGCTCTCTCTTTCTCTCTCAAAGGAGTAAGAATCTCAGCATCCTTTACATCCTACTCCATCAATGAACACCCAGGGGATCTTACTGTAATTTTCCCATCCCCATCTCCAGTAAAGGATACGGTATGGAAACATTATTTGTTTGGGGGACCAGCATGCACTAGACCTAAGCCAATCTATGCATTAGGTTAAAACACACATGACTAGCCAGATAGAGTCATGTATGCCTGTAATCCCAGGAGGCCTAGCAAGAGTGCAAGGAATCATGGAGTCGGCTGGGTCAAGCTGCTTTGAGAGGCATATGTCATAGGTTTTTCAGGTTAGAGTCTGTGGCTTCTGGGGCATTGTGTGTCTTTCAGTTCCTGAGAAACTGAGGCACTCCCTTAGGCAGTGAAGCATTCAGGCTGCCTCTGTGTTTCTCGGTGTTCCTTAGAAGTTGTGGAAGTTTGAAAGAAAATGGCCCCAAAGGGAGTGGCACTATTAGGAGGTACGGCCTTGTTGGAGTAGGTGTGGCCTTGTTAGAGGGAGTATGTCACTGTGAGGGCAGGCTTTGGGGTCTCTTTTGCTCAAGCTTCCCTCGGTGTGACTGTTAGTTGACTTCCTGTTGCCTGCAAGATGTAGCACTCTCAGTTCCAGCACCACATTTACCTGCACACCACCGAGCTCCCTGCCATGATGATAAGGGACTGAATCTCCAAAACTATAAGCAAGCCACCCCAATTAAATGTTTTACTTCATAAGAGTTGCCTTGGTCATGGCATCTCTTCACAGCAATAAAAACTCTAACTATGGGGCTAGAGAGAGAGCTCAGCAGTTAAGAGAACTCAAGTTCAGTTCCCAGCACCCACATGGCAGCTCAGGACTGTCTCTAACTCCAGTTCCAGGGGATCTGACACCTTCACACCAACGCACATAATAAATTTAAATAAATAATAAATAAATAAACTAAGACAGAAGTCAATGAAGCTTACAGAAATTTGACAGGATAATTGGTCTTAGACATTAATCTTGTGTACCTTGTAAAAGTACTTGTATGTTGTGGGATATTTGCACTGTGAAACCCTGAGACTTGTTAATACAATTAACCTTGGATAAGGGGGCAGAGCCAGTAACTAGTTGACAAGAATTAGCCATAGAGAGTACGGAAGACTTGGAAAGACTGATAGAGAGATGCACAGGAAGGAGCAGGAAGGGACTTAAGAGATTTGTGTGCCTTTTTGGTTTGGGACTGATGGAGAGATGCTCTCTTGCTGGGTCTCCAGCTGAAAAGGAAGATCAGATGGTTGCTTCTTGGTTTCTCTGATCTTGCAGGTTTTTATTGGTAAACAGAACAACTTAGATAAAAACAACATTTGTATCCTGGCAACTGCCATTATATTTTATCTCTGAGAAGGGTATAAAAAGTCTGATTGCTTGAATAGACTTGTCACAGTCTTGCTGTGATCCCTCCAACCTGTGCCTGATCAATATTCATTTCTCACTGGCCATATCAGGTAACCTGGGCCAAGTAAGTAAGTGCTAGCACTTACACAGGTGATCTCAAATTCAACGTCAGCCTGATCTACTTTGGCTGCGTAGTGTGATTCTGTCTCAACTAAGAAAGAGGAAGGAGGAGAAAGAGGGTTGGGGAGGGGGTGGGGCATGACTCATGGTAGAGTGATTAGCTTTCATAAAGACTGGGTTTGATTTCCAGGACAGCAAAACAAACAAGCACATGGTCAAGGCAGTCCAGTCAGAGAGAAGCCTGAAATCACTGGACGGATGCGGAGAGACATTCCTCCATGTATGCAAGAGGCTGTCCTCAACACTGTTGGCCAACATCTTGCCATGAAGGAACCAGCTTTAGGCAGAAAGGGAGAGAGAGAAAAAAGATGAAATAAAGACCTTAAGGAACTTTCTGAAGCAGGGCTGGAGAGATGGCTCAGTGTTTAAGAGCACTGGCTGCTCTTCCAGAGGATCCAGGTTTGATTTCTAACACCTACATGGTAGCTAGCAACTGTCTGTAATTCCAGTTCCAGGGGATTCATCTCCCTCTTCTAGCTTTCTCAGGCACTGCACACTCCATGTGGCACAGACATCTATGCAGACAAAACACCCATACACATAAAATAAAAATAAATAAATCTAAAATGGGACAGGGTGTTCTCAAGCTGAGCATGATGGCACATCCCTGTAATCTGAGCATCTCCAAAAGTCAAGACAGCAGAATCATGAGCTTGAAGCCAGCCTAGGCCAACAACAAGACTCTGTCTCAAAAGAAACTGAAACAAAGAGAAACGAAAATAATTTCTGGGGCTAGAAAGATGGCTCAGCAACTAAATGCCCGTATTGCTCTTACAGAGGACCCAAGTTCAGTTCCTAGCACCCATGTCAGGCAGCTCACAACCACCAGTAGCTACAGTTCCAGAGGGACCCAACGCTCTCTCTGGCCTCCCCAGGCACTTGCACTCACATGCACAAATCCATGTATACACACATAATTTAAAATAAAATAAATTTAGAAGTGAGGGGGAGCTGGAGAGATGGCTAAGTGGTGAAGAGCATTGACTGCTCTTTCAGAGGACCTGGGTTCAATTCCCAGCTCACAACTGCCTATGACTCCAAGATCTAACACCCTCACACAGACATACATGCAGGCAAAACATCAATGCACATAAAATAAATAATTTTTAAAAATTAATAAAATCTTTTCTGAGTTGCTAAGCTAAGCTAACACCAGAGTCTCTCACTTCTAGAATTTCCAGTGACAAGACTCAATTAATTTGCTTGGTTGCTGAAACCAGCTTAAATTAACTCATGCTGATATTTTCATAAAAATGCATGGCAGCCAGGCACAGCAGCTGATGCTTATAATCTCAGAACTTGAAAGTTGAAGTAGGGTTGAAAATTTGGGGCCAGCCTGGGCTACACTGTGATTTTTTTTTTTTTTGGTTTTTTGAGACAGGGTTTCTCTGTGTAGCTTTGTGCCTTTCCTGGAACTCACTTCGTAGCCCAGGCTGGCCTCGAACTCACAGAGATCCGCCTGGCTCTGCCTCCCGAGTGCTGGGATTAAAGGCATGCGCCACCACCGATATTTTTATCTCTAAAGAACAAACAAACAACAAAAAAGCCAGGTGGTGGTGGCAAACACCTTTAGTCCCAACACTTGGGAGGCAGAGGCAGGCGGATTTCTGTGAGTTCGAGGCCAGCCTGGTCTACAGAGCGAGTTCCAGGACAGGCTCCAAAGCTACACAGAGAAACCCTGTCTCAAAACAAACAAACAAAGTACATGATCCCATTTCACATATGCACACACACACACACACACACACACACGCCTATGAGACTCATTCTCACTCAAACTACCACACCCAGACACTAGTAAAAGAGAAGAGAGAAAACAAGGTACATCAAACTGTTAACACTAAGTAACTCAGGGGCTGATACTGTAAGAGTTGGGGAGGGAGGAAATCAACTATTTCATTTTTATTTATTTGAAAAAATTTAAACAATGATTTCTTTTTCAAATAACCCAGAGGTAAGAGAAATGAGTTCTTTTGGCAGATGGGAACTGGTTTTAAAAACTCCTGAGGAATGCTGGCTTTTATCTAACTGCCAGAAATCCTATAGTTCATCTTGAGCTCATTTCTTGATATTTGAACAGCCTAAGACCTAACAACATCATGCTCGCGCTCTCTCTCTCTCTCTCTCTCTCTCTCTCTCTCTCTCTCTCTCTCTCTCACACACACACACACACACACACACACAATACAAGTACATTTTGTTTTAATTTTTAAAAAGGCAGATGGCATTTGAGGAACTACAACTGAGGTTGTCCTCTGACCTCCACATACATACATACATGTGTACCTGTACTCCCAATGCATACATATACACCTGCATACATACATGCACAAATAGGAACTTTCACACACATGAACTTGCACACATACAAAACATGCACAGACATGAACCTGGACACATATATATATACATACACATGCACACACATGAAACTTCATCTTTTTTTTTTTTTAAGATTTATTTATTTATTATGTACACAGCATGTATGACTGCAGGCCAGAAGAGGGCACCAGATCTCATTACAGATGGTTGTGAGCCACCATGTGGTTGCTGGGAATTGAACTCAGGACCTCTGGAAGAGCAGTCAGTGCTCTTAACCTCTGAGCCATCTCTCCAGCCCGAAACTTCATCTTTTACACACACACACACACACACACAGGAAGTTATTTCATGACTACTGGATTCTAAAGTATAGTATATAATATGTATCTCAATATATTTTTTTTCTTGTTTTTTTTTTTTTTTTTAGTTTTTCGAGACAGGGTTTCTCTGTGTAGTTTTGGTGTCTGTCCTGGAACTCGCTCTGTAGACCAGGTTGGCCTTGAACTCACAGAGATCTGCCTGGCTCTGCCTCCCGAGTGCTGG